AGAGCTGGCAGTTATCGACAACGTTTTCAGGGAGTTGTCGTTGTCGTTGTCCACAGCTGCGCGACTGCTAAACGCAACGCTGTAGAACAACTGTTTGGTTCGGTTGTGGTTGTGGGCTGGCCAGTGGCGGGCGTTATCCAACTAAACGGTTGTGTAAAACAGGCTGAGGCAGTTGTATTCAATTGTTTCGCGGCGAAGTCGTTGTCGTTGTTTGTATAAGACCGATGTTACCTGAAAAACTGATTTCTTTCTTATCGTTACCAAGATGCAATTATATCCTAAGTTTGTCGTTTATTCATGTTCAGTTTAGATTTACTCCAAGTTATGTCAATTAAACAAGTTACTGTAAATTTAATTTTTTAAATCAAAACCGGTTTTGTTCACAGAGGACATCCATGCTTAATAGAAACTTAAAATTATTTTATATTTATAAACTATATAATACATATTAAATTATTATCTCTAAGTGTCACATGTAAGTCATGCATAGCAACATGCTACTAGGCTAAGGTCAATTTAATTTCTACAAGCATTTACTTTCTATAACTAAAGCAAAATGCAAAATAGACATTCACAATAGTCGACGACAACGCAACCGTCTATTCACAACCGTTGAGCTACTAAGCGTTATCGAAGTAAACGTAAACAGTGCACAGCCACAACGCAACGCCAGTGCCAAGGTCAACAGTTGTCGACAACCGTTTAATTAAACGGTTGTCGCTCCGCAACGGTTGTGTGCACAACGGTTGTGTGATTTTGGCAGTTGTGCCCATCCCTAGTGAGTACTGTACTGACACTACTGACAGACTGACAGTGCCAGTGTCTCCACTACAAACAAAACAACCAACCGTGTCTCAATCTCAATGATTATAGTTTTAGCTTCTTGATCAGCATTGTATGTGTTTTACCATAGATAAAACATACTTTACCGAAAGTAAATAAAAGATACGTCTCAAAGATTTTAGATCCATATATGAATCCCAAGTACCCATAAACTTTTGAGAAAACTACAAGTCACACCCCCATAAACCATATACTTAAAACGTTCGTCATGACGAGAAACCTTGCGCAAAACTACCCATTCATAAATTTCCCTACAAGGTCGTAATTTCTTTCTAAAGGTAACTTTCCATATACCTAGAGTTAAAAATACATCAGCTGTACTTATTTGTTACTTTCTCCCCCTATACCATAGTATATGGAGAAAGTATTGTTTTCGTCAAAATTTTCGAGTTTAAGTTTTGAGTGGATATATCCGTTTTGGGCCCTCCCTGAGCCCAAAAAAGTGGTTTTCGAACTTATGTCTGTCTGTGTGTATGTGTCTGGATGTGTACAGAGCTACAGACCACACCTGTAGTCCGATTTTGATGAAATTTGGTGTGTAGGGTTCTATTACATTATATATATAATTATCTCCAGGCGATTTTTTTTCATTTTTTCAAATTTTGATTTTTAATTGGGATTTTCCCATAAAGCCCATAAAATAACGGAAAAATCAACATTTCTGAAAAATGGCCCGAACGATTTTGATTAAAATTTAGTATGTTGTAGCCCATTAAATTCTGAACAAAATTCAATGCTACGTTTTGGTTACTGCGTTATCCACCACCATTATACACCACGGACAAGTTGCCGTTTGTAGAGCGTCACGTTTAACACAAAAATAATTTAACATTTAAAAACTATATAAATACGGATATGAAATATTTATGGTAACTGATTAGTTATGATACACACGATGCTAACTCGGCGGAGTTTGAGTCGATGAGTAGCTAGATGTTAAAATCTACTTTAAACACGTTAAAAGACTGCATTTACGTTGCGAACAACGTAAATCGAGTATTGAAAAGTATATTATATTTGCAAAGGTTAGAGTTTAACATATATAATAACGCAAACAGTTTATTTGTTTGAAAATGTATAATATTTCGAATTGTTTACTGTTTACATAAGACAATTATCATTCTCAAAAACGTGTAATGCAGAAGACATTGCTAGCTAATTGACTTAATGCCTAGATCACCTTATTATACGATTTAAGTTATCTGTTTAGTTGCTGTACTGCAAATTATAGTTTATGTTTAGGGTAAGCATTTAGGATGAATTTTTTGACCGAGCAAAGTACAAAATTCAGTACAGAAAGGAGATCTTGACAGAGGTTCTAGATACATTATAAAAAGGTCATTTTGTAGCCGTAATGTGGAAGTCTTTAAATATCTTTTGTAACGTGAACAATGGAGTGATGTATTTATAGTGCCACCGCAATAGACGCAAAGATGGAAACTTTTATATCCACGGTGAAGTTTGCTTTTGACCAGGAATTTCCAGAAAAGAAAATAAAACTAAAGAGCAAAAATAAATCGTCCACCTAGAGTACCTCTCGAGGAGCTAGAAATGCGTAATCTGATGAGACACTGGTGGCACCTTACTCGAGACTTGGATGGATATCACGAGAAGAGACAGCATTATTTGTCACTGAAGAAGGAGATACAGGTCCATTATTAGGCGTACCAAGTCATCGACAGTTCTTAGACTTAAACCTTTCTTCAAATACTGTAAATCGAAAACGGCTTGGCAAATTATAAACGAGCACAGGAACACAGAGAGATCACCAGGGTTGACTGTCAAGTGCGTCAAAAATAAAGATGGCTTAAGAGATCCAAAGTTGGTTTCAGATCTGTTCAATGACTTCTTTGTCAACGTACACAACGCACACAATAAATCAGAAGCCAGAGTTATGGTTGATGACCCCCAAATCAGTCTACATATGTAGCGTCATCTTTTTTTCCTTACTCCAGTATCATCAACTGAAGTGGCTGATGTAATAAGATTCTTAAAATCAAAGTCATCCAGACTATTCCTGTATCCATCAAAATGACACGTTGTTTTCAAATCAGTTTGGTTTCATGAAGAATAAATCCACGGTTGATGCAATGTTTGATTTAACCAACAGAACAGTTGAATCCTTGGATAAAAGGAGAATCAGCTGCAGGTATTTTCTTTGATCTTCCGAAGGCATTTTTTGACAGTGTTTCTCGAAAAACTCGAAGAGATTGGTGTTAGAGGAGTGGCCAACAAATGGGTTCGCTCCTTTAGCTGGACGTCGTCAGACCGTTAAATTCTCGTTCGAAAAATGTGGGATATTGAAGAAATGTAGCTATATCGTCAAATTAAGGCAGGTGTACCCCAGGGTTCAATTTTAGGTCCCTTTTATCTTGTTAAATTATATTCCAAAAAGCGTGTCTGATGCTGAGATATTTTTTATTTGCTGATGACATATCATTGTTTGTTAAATATAAAATGTCGGAAAACTTGGAGATTAAAGCGGTTCTTCAGTCCAATGCCGCTCTTCAATGGGTTTTAAACAACAATCTAATTTTATTGTAAATGCAAAAAAAGACTAGTTTTAGTTGATTTTAGGATTTCATCTCACCTTTCCGAGGAAATTAGTTTGCATGTAGATGACATGGTGGTCGAGTCAGATCGTTATGTCAAATTTCTAGGCATTTCCATCAATAGGAATTTGAACTATTTCTCACTGATTGTGTGACTCCGAAGTTAGGATCTTCACTTTATTCTTCGCAGACTTTTAAAATTTATGAGCAGACATGTTTAACTGTATGTTTTGCCCTCGTCTAACCACATTTGTCCTATGCCATTGGCGTTTGGGGATCCGAAAACGTCAAAAACTTTAGGATGTAGAAGAAAGCCATCAGAGTCTTAGGTCATCTCAAGCTAAAATTAGCAATCACGCAAGCGCTTTTTTCTGAAACGGGTCTTCTCACTTTTCCGTGTATTTATATTTTTCATACACTGCTTTAAGAAAAACTCTGAACTTAATCAAACAAGATCTATTAATACTTTGAACATTCCCAGACATAAAACTTCATTTTAAAACAATTAAATGTATTATAATTCGCTTATTTTTTAATGCCCTCCCAAAGGATCTCTAGTGAAATGGACTTTCGTAAATTTAAGAGACAGCTTAAAGAGTTTTTAATTTGTAATTGTTTTTATAGAATTAAGGATTTGATTTGTTAGGGGAAACAATGCAACATTTTTTTGTATACTTATAGTGACGCTTGCCAATACCTGTATTTGAGTTTAATGGCAATAAACATAATTTCATCTCAGATGCTATTTGCCATAAGAAATAACTCAATAACTCATTTATTCAGCTAGATTAACATTACAAAATGCATTAAAAGAGAGTAATTTTATTAACCTCACGAAAGTAGACAGTTCCCTCATCGTTTGATATTGAAATTTACATGGGGTGTCCAAATAAGTCATCGTTTTTAGATATTAACATTTCAACTAAATTTGAAGTTTAAATTTATTAGATCACATAAATTACGGTTTAACTAATACCATAGGAGCATTTTTCTATGGTTGAGGTTCTATGCACAAAAGTAGTAGTCTATATCAGTTTATGATAAAACTACATTTTTATATAATAACAACCTTTTTCATTTTGGTTAGTTTTCATCTAGACTTAGCAGCCCTTGAGTTTCGCATTCGCGGTAAATCTTTTATTCCCAACTCAAACTCAAAGTCAAAACAAAACCTAAAGTGAAGTGAAGTGATTCAGTCAGTGAGTGATTGATTGGGATTTCTGCTAAAACTGTTTATGTCGTCTCTGTCGGATTATTATTATTACCTTTCTGATAAGTTAATAAGTTACTTCAAAACGTGATTCACAAGTGACTTAATTTGTAGGCTAATATGAAATGGTAGTGTTGGTAAACATAATATAATGTTGTGTTAGTCAAATTCGTTTCATAGGGCTTAGCTTATTTGTTAGGCCTAGCCTACCGTATTTTTTTGCAAGTTTTAGTAATCCTTGCCCTTGTGTTTGTTAGCTGAAAAGTTAATAACTTAAGTGGCAGTTTGTGTTAGTCCATGTTGTAGCCTTATTATTGGGCCTATTAAGCTAATAGTCCTATTCAATCAAAATGTACAAGCGGAGGACAAAATCTGGGGGTTTGGGGATTGTTAGGATGGTTTCTAAGACCCAACAAAATGTACCAGACTCAGAGGAGGCTAAAAATAATGTTTCATCTTCGCATTCAAACAAAGAAACTTCTAAATCAATCATTACGAATGACGATCCATCGTTGTCCATGGATAAAGATAGTAATAGAAAGCGCCAGGTAAAAACCCCTGAACCTGAAGACTCTGATGAAGTTTTATCAGATTCAGAACCGTCTCCCAAGAAGACTCGTAGATTTTTTAATAGTACCTCTACTGTTTTGAGGGATCATACACTTTCCAATAAGCTGAACCAATCAAAAGTTGAAAGTTCTGCTTCAAAAACACCTAGTCCTAGGCCTACGCATAAGCGCAAATGTTCTGAAAAGCAATTAAGATCAATTGATCCTGCTGACACCATTAGTAAAACAACCAAAGTTAACAAAAAACTCACTCAAGTGCCACTAAATTCGAGTAACAATTATAATAGAACAGCAAAGGAAACAAAAAACCCCACATCATCAATCTTTATTGCAAATGATGAACATAAAACCAAGGCTCACGAAAAATTGAAAGAAGACTTGAGAAAGGATCGAAAACTATCATATTTAGAAGAGGTATTTGAACAAGCAGGATTAATACTATCTGATGGCTATTCTGCCAACGTATTAAGTGAGTAAAAGTCAATTACTTTCCTTGGACAATGTGTGTGGGCAAGACCCAATATGTACAGGATAGCATTTAATTTGTGTTTAAATGTTCAAACTATGATAAGAGATTTGAGTACCGGTACCCTGAATGGTCACATTTTGCTCTTCAATAGCCAAACTATAAGAGATGAAGGCTATTTCAAGTAATATTTTCAGATAATTTCATCCTGAAAATTAGGTTTTCCTTTAACCGTTTTTTAAACACTTTTAAATTCAGTTTTAATAATTCAAAAGATTCACTTTAACAGCATTGTTTACTTAGGCTACTTCACAGCCTTGCCTTTTTTACTTTACAACAATAGTAATGGAGCGAGGTTCAAGGATTGAAAGAAAAAAGCAAAATTGTAATCCTTAAAACGTCAACTTCAGCTGTTGAGACCAATTTAATTGTTCATGAGTGGTGTCCATTAAGTGGTTGGTACAATGAGTCATTGCATCATTATCAGTGTGGCAATGAGAGGTTATAAACAAAAACATAACCTCTTTTAGAAGTTAAAAGTACTGATTACTGGTAAAAAACGGTTAAGTAGGTACCTAAAGTAAGTAGGCTAGTGTACACAACTCGCTTAGATAGTCACTGAATGTGTGCCCATAGCCTATAGTTAACTGGACCCAGCTGTCCTTGATCACGAGGGGTTATAATAATTGATCATAGTTTAATAACCACCTTATCTTAGTCAGTATTAAAGCTGTCTTCTCATTGATTTAACATTTAAATTCATTGTTAAGCTCTTGAGCTGTAGATAAACTGTAGGCCTACTTAAGTCAATAGCTCAAAATAGGCCTACTGGATGGTGAATTTCAGATCATGTTTCGACACAACTGGACGAGTATAGGCCTAAAGTCGCGCCGGGGGTTGGTGACACACTCTCTGTCTGTGTTCAACTGTATGCTCATCCAAGCAGGCCTGCAACGTCTCCATACGTGTTTTAATAACAAACCAATTTTTGTTTTAATGTCTACCTGTCGTGTCGTTTTACGTGTTTTATGTGTTAATTTACTGAACTATGAGGAAGCCATTTGGTGGGACACACTTCACTAGTAGGCTACTCAGCTGATGATGACACAGTTGTGTTGAAACATGTTCTGAAATTCACCATCCAGTATTTTTCGCTATTGACATAACTTAAGTAATATTTCTTACAATAATTGACCCAACAATCTTTGTCTTAAAAATACACACCCTGATGAGTCTGCATCACAAGAATGTGGTGAGTCAGCACCCTATAGTGACTGTACCAACTTGCCACTAGCTCAACTATAATACATGCACAGTCCCGAGGCCTATGTGGACGGGCAAATGAAGGTCAAAAGAGGTTGGCCAATCTCTTAAAATTGATCTCTTTAAAGCTTTTGATTAGTTTTAGAAAACACCTTCCAACCCCCTCCCCCCGTCTATGACATAATTCCCCAATTGATGCTGTTGATGAGGTGTCCATTCTTATTCCATCATCTGATACCGACATATTTAAATACTGTTTAACTTTAAGGCATTTTATTTTAACTTATGAATTGTGATTTTCAGGCCTACTTACAGTGTTAATAAGAAATTTGTTCTGTTTTAATTTCTCAAATTGTTATTTCTACCAGGAACAGATCAAGCAGTTTTTGTCAGAGACATAAAGAATGCTATCTGTAGCAATGAGGAGGAATCAAAAAGAAACGTGAAACAAATTATGAAAGATTTAGAAGAATATTGTTCTGATGACAAATGTTTGAAATATGCCATTTCCTCTACAGAGGTAAGTGTTTAAGATTTTCATTCACATTATTTTACATTCATAGGAGTTAAAAGATTAAAATCTTGTAATTTTGAATGTAACATTAGACCAGATTTTTAAACTGTTGTTCAAAGAATTAAGCTATAAAATTAAATGTAAGAGATTATTTCTTGTCTTCATACTACTTTTGAAGACACACACACCTTTTAAGGTAGGCCAATTCCCGAGCGTCTCTCAGTAGAATTAAACTATTTTACAGAGTAACTCAGGTCAAAATACTAACTTAAAATAAAATACAGTACAACTATTATACCGTAATAAAAGACATTGTGTGATAAAATACAAATATTAGCCTAAATATTACTGTAGCCTATTGATGATTTTTAAGAGGATTAGAAAAAAGTAGTTTTAGGTAACTAAAACCATTATTATTGAACCTATCTAAACATTACACATACCGTACATGCAATAATAACAACTAAGCTTTACTAATGCTCAAAGATTTACAAATTTTACTTAGGTACCTAGTTAGTAGTTAGTAAAAGGTAAAGATTATCATCAACATTTTTTGATTCATCATTTCTTAAGGCTACGGTATTAAATAGACCTCTATCATTTGCCATGTTAAAAACCTAGCACTTGACTTTGATTTGACCAGTTTTGATTTTTGCAGACAGCCGAGGATTGTGATGTCTCTCGTGGAGCAACACAGGACAGTGTCATGCGGCTCCTATTGCACATTGATTGCTTACAAGCTCCAGTCACTGAGCTACTGCTTATGGATAAACTTGCCAAATTCATAATGGATGAACCCAGGTAACTTTATAACTGAAACCTTTGGCCATTATAGATACAGGCTACCACAACTATCCAAAATATTTAGTGAGTTTCTTAGGTACTCAAGTCAAGTCTGCATTCACCATGCAGCACATGTCTTATGAGAGATAGTTGTGTCATTAACATAACATCAGGTTTATTTTCACGTGGGTTGTGTTAACAACTGTACTCACAACCCTCATGCTAAAGTACATAGTAGTCTACTTATTAACTGTATTAGATTCAAGATTGCAATTTAATTTAATCAAAATTAGTACCGGTATGGTCGTAAAAATGGCTCAAAAATATATAAATCTAAGGAGGTAAGGACTGAGTAAAAAGTTATAGAGTGTTTTACGGGTCCCGATGTTTTTACGCCGGCTAGAGTTATTGACAATCAAAATTAATTAAGTAAAAGACAATCATACAATAATTGTTTTAAATATTTTGTAATCAACATACTTATCAATCCACTTCCTATTTCATGATGAAATTGAATTCATAATAAAAAAATCTAAAATAGTTGTCTGATCTTTTATTTGAATGACTCCATATATGCCTTGTTTTAGCGAATTTCCCATATAGGGAATAAGCTATTACCGTAGTACTCATGGTAAGACCTGGACCCGGGACCGATTTTTTTTTTCGTTTTGAGGTCCCTAGAGGCCAAAAACACCATCCGTTCAAATTCATATATATATATATATATATATATATATTTATATATGTGTCCGTTAGCGCGATAACTCGAGCAAAAATGATCCGATTTTGATGAAATTTGGTACAAACGTGTAAACCGACATTTATTCTAACGAGTTCGCGAACCAGCATGATCGGACCATGGGAACAGGGGTTTATGGGGGCTTTTATGGGGTAAAAATGGGTTTTTCCTATTTTTGACCCAAAAAACATAAAATTTTGAAATTTCTTTTCAAACTATTTTGTAGAGCTTAAAAAAACAAATAATTTAGTATATTGAAGCGTTATAATGCGCCTAATGGTTACGGAGAAAATTCCAAAAAATTGTTAATTTAAAATTCCCATGTTATTCTTATGGAGAATAAGTAAACCGTTGTAGTGTGCTTGTTTCTTAACATATTTTGCCCAAATTTGGAAAATGTTTTTATTTCTTACTAACTATTAACATTTTACATAAAAAAACACTTTTACCCTCCCTGTTGCAGCAAACCTAAGTATGTGTTAAACTGATTCTATTTAAATAGGGAATAAATGTGATATTTTTAAGGAGACATTTTAGTCTAAATCCAATCAGGCAAATGGAAATTCGCTTAGTCTGCAGGTTTGCTGCGGCGGGGGTATTTAATACTTTGCTTCTGTTTTCAGTGGTGACCTAGCCGTAATCACTTGGGTTAGAATGATCCTTCAGTGCTTTAGATTCTTGGAGAGGATGAATAACGGAAAAGCAGTAAATGATCAGCTTCTAGAGATTGTTCTTGTTTCAACTGACACTTTGGTTTGTACATTTTAGTTTTGAATACAGTAGAAGTTCCAGTAATGGTACTGTTAGAAGTTCTTTGAATCATACTCAAGAGTGGATTGATTAAGTCCTCCAACTCTGATAAGTTTTTTTTGATCAAGAAACGGAGGGAAATTGCGGAGATTACTCGACTTATTGAAGGACCAATAATGTTGATGATAGATTGTAAGATTGATAAGATTTACTCAATAAAAGAGATGAAAAACAATAGATGGTTTATTAATAATATAATAAAACATATGATTTGTGCATAAAAGGCAGGCAGTATAGAGTATTCAGAGAACTTCTAACAGGTACGGATATGAATTTCTTTCTGCTCTTCTTTAAGGTTCACATGAGTGACAGATCTAGCTGCCAAGCTGTGACTATACTGAACTGCATGTCAGAGTGAGGCAGAACCAGGGTTGAACCAGTCAACCGCACTAATAGTCTTATCCCTTGAGTCTATTGTGCGTTCTTGGAGCTGCTCGGGCAGCCGGTGACCTGGCCAGTGAGTCATACTTCTAGCTCCACTATCTCTGAGCAATATTTCTTAATTGTAGAAATTTACAAATCTGATCGTATGAATGGATGTATTTAGTCTAATGATCATTTTGATACCAAATTTGAAGCTATTTTTTTTTGTTATCATCTAATATTGTGCCTTATTTTATAAGGTCATAAAAAATCATATATTCACATCAAATTTGGTATCAAAATAATCAGTAGATTAAAATACATCTATTAATACCATCAGATGTGTATATTTTCATAAATTAAGAAATATTGCTCAGAGATAGATATTGCGCAGGCATAATAAACTATGAGCATTGATAACCGATGTTTTCTATACATTATTGTCAGGTTGTACTGGTCTTACTTCAGACAGTTCAAACATTCAACAACCTTAACTTTTGTTCATGAAATATTTTTCAGATTCAACAAGAAGTGATCCTGTCCCTGCCAGACATCATACAAGATACAGAACATCATTATACAGCTTTGGAGTTGAGGTAGAACCTTTTAATTTTTCTAATAACTTTAATTTTTCTTTAGTGTAACTTGACATTTTTTTTTACAGTAAACCCTCGCTAAACTCGACCCCATCAATACAGACTTATCTTAATTTAAACGCCCATTGGATAGCAGTCAATACAAATGCCATTCTGCTTTGTCAGAAATGCATTACTTTTAGAAGTGCATGTTAGTTGTGTGTAGCATGCATTTTAGTAGCACAGGATCGTCTCTGGCTATTTTCTTGTCATTATAATGGCTCTATCCCTTATTCTTCACCCAGGAGTTTTGGCTCCAAAATTTGGTTGTGTTCGAACTGTAGGTTGGAAAGTGATAAATGTGATCTGTCATGAGTAGCCTATGTCTCTTACTTCAGGCAGGCGTAGTAGTGTCTGCACTATTGATTGCTCTTGTAGGCTGTATTGCATCTGTTATCTCATCTTATCTAGAAGAGGATGTCCGAAGTTTCAAAGGGCCTAATCCGTATTTATCAAATTATTGCGCTCTTCAATCAGTAGATTTATTAAGAGACCTTCAATATCCAAGCACCTGATGAATGCTGCATTCTACAGCCTTAGGAAAGTGACTCCTTCTTACCAGATTGCTGATAGTTGTCCTTCTTACCTCAGAAAGCTCCTCAGAGTCGAAAAGCTGATTAGCAGTTTCCTCTGACCTGCCACATTTCCTGCATAGTCACCATCATGCAAACCAATTCTATGCAGATGGTTTCTGAAGTGCCCATGCTTGAAATCAGTCCAAATGTTTGTCTCATTCCAACACCTATCCAACTTCAGATAGTGACCGAGGCAACCCGTGTTGAAGGCATGTGAAGAGTGTGCTTACGGGGAAGCGATTTCCTACAATATGTTTCAATGGCCCGATCAAAAGGAATTGGAAGTAGCTTACACTTTCCCAACAAAACGTTATACAATTTTTGAAGATAAGGATAAGATTTATAGTGCATCTGTATAGCTGTGCTAACATAAATTGTTCCTGGTCGGTGGTTGAAAATTTGAAGACCCTTCATTCCTGCTTTCTGGCAGTTAAACACTTCAACTTCACCATTTAGTAATGATAGGACACTGTGATAACAGACCTGAAATAACACAACATTTCTTTATTTTATTTTAAGAGTATTTAATTTAATCAGACTTTTAATCCAGACAATCTTGTGGATCAATGACGGTTCACTGTTTTAGAAAATGCCAGGATAATGTCACAAAGTCCAAGAACATCAGAATAGGTTAGTCTAAATGAGTGGTTGTTTGTTTGACAGCAAGCTAGTACGCAAAAGCAACCCACAGGTGATGACCAGTGCCCTGGAGGCTCTCACCAACCTGTCACTACAGCCAGAGGTCCGCACACAAATACAACCAACACTGTTGAGGGCAATCAATAAGATACCTCACGACTACTTACCCACCATGCTCAAGTTCCTGTTTGCTGATGGAGACGCTGCCTCTGTAGACGAGGTAAGCTAACCAAGATCTCCCCCCTCCTCTTTAGAAAAGACTAGATAAAAAATTAATAAAGTGTTGTAAGGTTTAAGATAGGCCTAGCTCAAAGTGTTCAAAATAAATCCGTATTGATGTACGACCTGAAAAAACAAAAAGATATACGTCTAATAACACTTGTTATAATATATTTACACTTAACCTGTTGACTCACAAGATGGTAAATACATATGAAAGGTGGTAAGTGGTGATCGATTTTCATTGGGCAATCCAATCATCATCAGACCCAATAGGCGAATTTGATGATGATTGGAGTGTCCAATCGAAATCAATCACCACTTACCATCTTTTATATGTATTTACCATCTTGTGACAGTCCATCATGTTGTAGTCAATATCATACTCAGGTGTTGGGCTTGTTTCTCAGGTGATCACTTTTCTGCGAAATGAGTTAGACTTAGAAGAGACCAGTGGTAACTCAGCCAGTGTGCAAGTGCTGGTGTTTATGACTCTGAGAGACGCTCTGTTGGTGTCTCGCACTCTGCCTACAATCTGGCTGAAAAACATCTCTTCCGTCAAGACTCAGGCTGAACATAAGTAAGTAGCCTTTTTGAGTGATCTTAAACGTATAAACAAACTTAAGTACAGTAGACTCCCTCTTGTACGGACTACTTAGGACCAGGGTCAGTACAGATTACAGTTTTCCGATAAAACCGATGCCCCTTAGGACTCATTAAATTAGAAATGTACTATACTTAAAAATTTAGTACAAATGTTCACAAAACACAATTTTGAGTACATACTGTATGAACGCGACTAACGATACACGCTCCTGCTGATCCGGTCAAATCGATGTGCTGATAGAAATTGTCCGGTCAAAGAGATGTCACTTCTGCCGAGTGTAGTCTGGTAAAACCAAAGTCCAATTAAAAGTTGTTTGAATAAGAATTAGTCTACTGGAAGTCTAAAAGGATGAAAATAGATAATTGCGAATGGAGACCTGATCGCGGGGAAGATGTGTAAACAATGAGCGTTGAATGAATGAGATGACAACTTTGTTACTGACTAAGATCAGCTGGTTGTGTAGCCTGGTACATTGATTAAAAATTATCAAAGACAGCAGGGTCCGGGTCCAGTTTCAAACCAAAGAGCTACTGACTTGTCTCGGGACCAAACCAGTGATGTTAGCACTAGGCGGGCACTATTTCCACTAAGCCATCAAGTAAACACCCTGTGTCAGAAAATACTATCTTTGATTATTGATAGAACTAGACATTCCATCCCCATGTTAAGGTTCTCACCAGTTTTAGAATAAAAATTGACATAGTAGAGTTGAGCCACTGACAGAGTGTGCTGATTAAAACGACTGATGTCTGTAGAATACACCAATTTTCTAATCAAGTCAAACTGATAGGACAGCCTATTTTCAGCTATAGCATCTTATTTGTTACATCAACTTTCTCAGTGACAAGAACTAAGGGAGAAAATAGAATAATTGCAGATAGTAGCAGTGAGTGGCCCATTCAATTCAGTTGTTTTTAATTTATTTTTTAATTGGCTACATTTGGTCCATAATTAACAGGCCTAGATGGGATGTCCACTTCAGTAACCAAAAGTCAATTGTACTACTTACATATAGCGAGGGTTAAAGAGAAGTACAAGATAAGTAAAAATTTGCATCCAAAACGCAGTTGGTACAAATTTTGATTTCAGGCTGCTGTAGGGTCGATTAGTAAAGAATCTCTGCTATCCAACCAAAACCTGATCCAATGTGCATTGAGTACATGATACTACTGGGTTGAATGATACTATTTTGGTTTGATGCTTCTATTTAGCTGTTATTTGTAGAATTAAGGATGTTTTGTTAGGGTAGCAGACCTACCTGAATGGGAAAGAGTGTACTGTGCTACAAGAGACACATAACACAGTAACTTATTACATTACACAGTATCAGAATATTTCACCACCACTGACAGCATTTTCACTCAAGAAAGGCGATTGGAAGAAGATTTGTGTATACTTTAGTTTCAAGTTTTTTTCTTGTGCCAGAGGCATACTCTTTCTCATTCAGGTAAGCCTGCTGACCTACCAAAATTGTTAAATCCTAGGCCTGTGCTTTATGTTACATGCTAAAATTAGTTGTTGATGCTGTTGGCACTGCTGTCACTGTAAGCTATATGATGTTCCAGACCAATTGACATAGTGATGCTTTTGGTACTCCTGTCAGTGTCCAGTGATAATACTCGTCACCGTGCCATTGAAGCTGTGTTCAGAAGCAAGATCAGAGCTGAAATGTTTACTGAAACCTTAATCAATGAAACTCTCAAAGCCTACATTCCTGTAAGTACCCCTATGTATCAAAACATTAGTTTTTCACCACTAATTGATTCATGATATATTGACTAAAAATCGGTTATGTTGAGCATAATTTGTACAACTCAATTCTTAATAATTGATCTGGCAAATATATTCATTTAATTTACATTCTAGCCGCCTGTGTGGTATTGTTGAAAGGAATCAAATGCAGGGCTGATTATGTGTGTTTGTGTGAGGGGCAAGGGTGTTGTATGTAGGGAAGTGTGAATGATTACGTATGAATAGTTTCAATTCCCTTGTAGAATACCTTCATAAGTATTTATTTAGGTGTTCTAAACTATTCGGGACATTGCTTAAAATGATGTAATCATGTAATTATTATTAGTTTTTCAATTTAAGTTTTTCTGTAACTCACTAATGCAGTTTAAGTTTGCAAATCACTTGGTGTTTCAGGTTATAAAGGAACATTTTCAAGTTACAATTAAACTTGCTGGAGCTTTGTTAAAATCCCCAGAACCAGCTGTTGTCGAATTTGCTTCAAAAATATACACGTAAGTAGGCTAGTTAAAGACAACTATAATTATTCATGGAAATTATGAATTTTCTTAACACATTGACATTAAATGAAACTATTGCATGTATATCATAATCACTAATCAGTTATTTCTCCTACAGAGGCATGTTTGTCAACATGGAGGGGTTGTGGTGCAAGTGGGTATTGTCTGATCTACAACAAGGCGTTGGTACCGGAGACACAGGCATGGCTAGAGCTGCTCTGTCTGTCATACAACATCTCACCACCAACCATCACCACAAGGTCAAGCCACTGGGTGTCATACTGATGGTGAGTAGGGGTCTGTGGGTCACACTTTTATTTCAGGTAGGATGAATTTACAGATGTAAATAAAGATCTTTTGCTTTGGCTAAAATTGGGATTTTTCTTAATTGTTGATTAAAAAAAATATTAATTGTAATATTATGGTTGTTTAGTACAATATTGTAAATAATCTTCTCTTTACTGTGGATAAACTAGGAACATCTGTAGTCACAGGGAAATCAAGAACATCTGCAGTCATGGCAAAATCATAAACACCTGCAATCACGGAAAAATCATGAACACCTTCAACAGTCGTGGTAAAATCTTGAATGTCTTCTGCGGCCTTGACAAAATCATGAACATCTTCTGTGGTCGTTGAGAAATCAATAACGTGTTCCGTAGTCATGGAAAAACCGTCATTGTCACTCACGAACCGCAGGATGTAAACATCACCTGCAATCTTGGTGAAACCAATCAATTTTAGATCGCACATCTATTTGACTTGTCCTGATCCGAGATTGACCAGCAAATCATTTTTGGCCCAACTGTTTACCTGACCCGACCCAAAAATATTAGGCACTCGCAGGCCAATAAAATTGATACAACATGGCAAGTAGATTAGTTTTATGGCACTGCTGATGTTGAGCAAGTTGTGTTATTTTTGCAGCTGCTGCTGAACAAGTTGAATGACTTGGCATTGAGTGAGGTGTGTCAATTGATGGACATCCTGTGTCACATTGCATACTCTGAGGATGATGAAAGCTCAGAGAACTGTACAATGCTGCAAGACGAGATCAACATCTTGGTCCAGAAACAGCTCGCTAGCTCACAACTCAGGTAGGTAAAGCTTCTTTTTTGCCGTGTATCCTGTAGATTTTTGAGCGGAGCGAAGCGAAGAGAAGCGAGAGAAGCTCTTATACTACACTCCTGCTTTTGTTTTACAAATACTTCTCCTGAACGGCTGTAGCGATCTGCACGAAATTTAGCACAATCATAGTAACCAACCATGGGAAGGTATAAATCTGAAATGGTACAAATACGACCACATGGGCCTTATAGCCTTATTGGTTGCCATGACATTATTAACGAGATAACAATAAAAAGGTAAACAAGAGTTGCAACGTATGTTAGCCAACTAATCATCTAAATAGCACATTGTACAGAGAAAAAAAATCTGAAGAACAATCCGACTAATATCATTGAGCATGATTTGCTATTAAAAGTGAATAACCAATAATTATGGTCGCCTGAATAAGGCTGATGCACCATTGACTTTAAATAATCCAAATAGCCGAGTAGCAATTATGTGAACTGGATATAGGCCTACCATTGAGTTGGTTACTGCAAGTAGACTTTCCATTTATGTGAACTAGACGTACCATTCAATAATGCAGACTTTGAATATGTACTGCAATTATGAATTCCATTAATGTGAACCAAAGATAACACTAAAATGGGATGCTAGTAGACATTCCATTGATGTGAACCAGACGTACCAGTACCATCAACTTTGGATATTGCAAATAGGCACTTCATTTATGTGAATCAATGAACCATTGCTTTGGATCCTGCAAGTAGACAATTCATTTACGTGAACCAAATGTACCAATGTAAGTCAACCAGAAGTAAGCTTTTGGATACTGCAAATAGGCATTTTATGTATGCGAACAAAATATATCACCAACATTGTATATTGCAATTTAAAGTAGACATTTAATTTATGAGAACTAGATGAAACATAGAATTGGTTCCTGCAAGTAGACAATTCATTTACGTGAACCAGACTTATTGACTTTGAATACTGCAAATATACATTCCATTTATGTGAATAAAATATGCCATTGACAATGGATAATGAAAGTATATATCTCATTTACGAGAAGCAGATGAAGTATTGACTTTAGAAAAGTATTGGATTAATGTGCTAGCTTTGCTCAATATTGCAAGCAGACAACTGCATTGTACACCTAGTTAATTTTCACTAGAGAATCTCTTAGTTGCACAATATATGAAATAATCTCAAGTCCTCTGGTTTGTATAGTTGTAATAATTGATTTACCTACAACCGTTTTTTAAAGTAGCTGTTTCAGTTCTGTTCTTAGAATTGAAAAGTTTCTCATAACAGCATTGTTTACTTTCATAACAGCATAGTTTTTCATAACAACATGGGTAACAAACCAATGAGGTTCAAGGATTGAGAGAGAAAAAGTAAAATTGTAATGATTCTAACTTCATCTAATCAGCTGTTCAGGCCAATTTAATTGTTGAGTGGTGCAATTAGTGTTTGATACAATGTTTCGTTGAATCACTGCCAGTGGCAATGAGAGGTTATAAACAAAAACATAACCTCTCTTAGAAGTTATAAGTAGTGATTTTTAGTAATTAAAACGCCGTCGTAGGTAAAGTAGTGTACGCAACTCGCGTAAATAGTGTTAACGACACTCGCCAAGGCTCGTACCTTAAATTTTCTACAATCAGTTTTCAAAATAAAACTAAAATAATCTTCTCGTAATTAAAAGAAAACGAAGCTAACTCGCGATAAGTAAATAATGAAATAAAATAAAACGTAGAAAGCTTATTTATGCCAATTCTTCTTGGCTTTAAGGAAAATAAATAAAAACTCTTGATCTGAAATAAAACAAAACCGCTTTGGATGCCTAAAAGAAGGCGTAGGCTACTGCGACACTACACTCGCAGCGTCGGTCGATACTACGATATTCTATAATAAACTACGATAAACGGCCTAGAATAGCCTAATAAATAACGTAATTTTCCTCGCCAAAGTGGATACGAGGAGGGATACAACGTATACGCTAGCTATATACAGTGTACTTACGTAACACGATACTTCCAGATTTGCATCCAGGTTACTCACGCCTTCGTCCGGATACTTTATTAGGTTCGCTCGCACAGCCTAAGGAGGGTTGGTGTGCGCGAACCTATCGCTCGCCGCCGACTGCCCAAGAAATGTCCACTGTCCGGCGGTCTAGGCTACTCCCCACCACCGCTACGGCAGCGCTTCAAGGTGGCAGCGGCCGGGTCTCAAACTATGTAAAACACTGACCAAGTGGATCATTGTTGGCGTCATGACGAACCGCCGCGCTCGAATCGTTCGTGTATATAAAATAAAAAATTTACCCCTAACACAATTTGACCATTACAAGTATACAACGCAAAATAATATCTACCAAAGTTAATAAAATATATTATTTGCGCTTTAGCGCCTGTCCAGAACCGTCTGGAATATACTTTAATATTATTCCTGCCACCTGTAAACCCTAACTACTGTGTCAGGATTATACCAGCACGGTTACAACTCTAAAAATTGTTATAAAATCAGGGAATAAATATTCTCTAGACATTCCTATGACACTCCTACCAAAATATTAAGGAAAGTCGTCACTCACCACTAGTGGGTTTATACCCAACTTGAACTCCGACACTCACTGTTCACCACACCACCAACGTACACCAGTACTAGTAAACTCATCGTCTACACCAGACACAAAACTCTACTCCTCACTGTCCGGGATCCACTACTCGAATATCCGTCTTAGACTGTCCTGAAGTTCCAGGATACCCTAGGCTTATCGGAACTGATAAGCCGGGTCAAAGGGCCCTAACTAGCTTCGCCGCCGCCACTTGCTTACCCCAACAATCGGTGTGCGGCCAAACAAAAATCTATCCCACTAGGAAAAATAACTCGTAACAACATCAGTCTTTTTCTCTGTAGAGTGCAATAAAAGATTAATTTTGTGTTTCAGTGTGAAACGTAATGGAATAATTGGATGTGTAATGACAATCAAACATGTCACCACTGTTTCTGAAAGTACAACTGACTCTCTTGCTTCAGAGAAAAATCATACATCAGATAAAGCTGCAAAGGCGTCACAACTCCTTGGTAAGTTTGTTTTGATGTAAATTCTTGTGAGTAACATGACTAACCTTCCATTTACAAAAGATAACGAATAACTCAACAAAAATTCTAAAAACTTACAATTTACATCAACGCTTTTAAAACTGTTCTTTTTTTTAACTAATATTACGTTTTCTCATATTTATGTATTAATTGAATAGATAAATAAATAAACATAACGGCGCCTATCTCGCCACCTGCCTAGTTATGGCCCTGATATACCTTTAGGTCTGTATAATGTCTGGGCGGCCTTAAGGTTTGGAGATAGTACTGAACAGTGAACACTCAGGGTTTGAATCTTGTCTCGATCTGGTCTGATGTGCAACTCATCAGGAGTTCACCTGAGGTAACACATATGAGGCCATCAATGTAAAGTCTAACTGGATTGTGCACGGCAGGTAAGCGAAAACGGTCCTCCCCCGCACCACTGGGTGGGCAACAGCAACATTTTTAGTTGTGATTGAACTTTAATTTATCTAATAAACATTTAAACTTAATATAATATAATATAAATAATATATTATATAATATTATAAAATTAAAGTCCTGAAACAAAATGACTGAATAGAATGATCCATAGCAATGGATAAATACCAGAAAACCTTGGTTATATAATGATGGCTACATACAAAATTAATGTTAAAAAACTGTTCTGGGTGTTTATATAATAGTTTTGATATTTCACTGAAGAGATAAAATATAAAATACATATTTAATAATTAACTAATAGAAATAAACAAATTCAAAACGTTCTGCTTACAAAGCAGAGGTTAAAAACTGTGATATTTCTGCGGGGACAATGCTACTACAATGCTGTGGGGCCGCCCTGTTGCCCACCCAGCGGCGTGGCGGTGGGCTGTCTTCAGTGCAGTATTCTCGTGCCAGAGCGCGCAGTTAGACGAAACACGTCGATGACACAGGCTAACAGTGACAGCTCGGGTGGAAGCTGACGGGATGGGTGGATTCTTTGTGATGTGCTCTTTATTTCAGGCATTATATTACTTTTTACCAAGTGTCTCACTGGAGGTCCACAGAAAACTAGTTTTAAAACTATTTAGATTTCTGTGTTATAGATAAGGAGAAATGCGATGAAATAGGTTTAATTAAATTTCTGAGTAATAAGTGGAGTTGAAAGGGTTAATACTTGTGGCTACTGTTTGCAGAGCTCCTGTTGAGCAGCACTAAGGACTGTGTAGAAGCCCAGGGTCTAGCACTGGACCAACTGTCTCATCTCCTCATCTCCGGCAAAGCATTGGACCCAACATTTGTGGTGTGTAGATCCTATATGTATACACTATTAATGATTCATTAGATTTCCACTAGGTTTTTCTTGTTTTTCACTTAAAAACTGATAGTGTTAACAATTCGCCTGCTTCTGAGGGTACTTTACCTCATTACCCTTTTGGTAAAGTATACCTTTGATAGGATTTAACTTACTTACTTAAGCTGTGGCCACTGGTACCCTACATGGTACTTGGCCTCCCCAACACACTGCCTCCATAGGTCTCTGCTTCTTGCATCTTCCTTCCTTCTCCCTAGCTTCCTCAGGTCTTTCTCCACTTGGTCGAACCATCTAAGTTTTGGTCTTCAAAGGGGTCTTCTACCTTCTGGGTTATTCCTCAAGATGTTCTTTGATATGGAGTTGTCATCTTTTCTTAGAATATGCCCTGCCCATCTCAGTCTTCTGCTCCGTACCTCACCGACAATATCCGGATCCTTAAATAATTCTCTAAGTTCCCAATTATGTCTCGATCTCCATTGTCCATCCTCAAAAATCGGTCTGTACACTTTCCTCAAAATCTCGTTCTCAAATACAATAGCTTTCCTTTCTGATTTCTTGCTTAAGATCCAATTTTCTGAACCATACAGGAGAACTGGTCTGATGATTGTCTTATAAATCCTGAGTTTGATGGTGAAGGATATCATTTTTGAAGTTAATTTATTTAATTTATAAGGATTTCATTTATCTTATTTTATTTCAATACAAGTAGATACATGGTTTTTTGTATTAAAAATATAATCAGGTCTTGGTGTAATGTTTATTTAAACAATTGAGTTAGCATTACAGGTTTTGAGCACAAACAACCACTAGACTTTACTGCCAACTAGATCAGCAATTTTGCACTGTGCACAGTGATTGTAATCTGTTACCTCCAGAACTATCTCCACTACTTTTCTTACCTCCTTCATTGGTTACTCTGCTAGCTGATTGTGTCATCATAATTTTACTATTTTGACAGGCTCCTTGATCCAACTGTAGAATTTTAATACATACTCCTAACGCTATCTTAAGCACAAAATGAAATCAAAGTAAATTAGATCACCGCTAATTGTTAGTAAAAGTCAGCTCCTTGCTTTTCAAGTCTCCAACCTGGTTTTGTTGACGTTCAGGCTATTAGTTAATACATTAAATACAAGTAGAGCACAGTCAGGTGATATGAGTTTTCTTTGGACAACCAAGTGTTTAAAACCTTAGGATTCATATTTATGTCTAATACCATGCTATTAAATCTTCTTCATCGTTGTCATGATTCATCTGTTAGCAACACCACGCACCCAGACCAGTTCTATTTCTCATGCCAAATTTGTAGGCCTACCTACATTTTATTGTCATGTCTTTGTGTGGATTCTAAAGATTGGACATCGTCAACATAACAAAACTGGTATTTTAACCTTTCTTCATATGAAAGTGGTTAAAATGCTAAAATTGATTGAGTGTTACTTTTTGCTTTTCAAACCTACCTTTTGTCATTTTTGACACTCTTCCACAGTTTTCACCGTGAAGGCATGTCACAATCTTACGTTTTGCTGAGAAATTTTAAAATTAAATACACACATCTATTTTTACTATTATTTATTTATCAACAATTCTAACACTTTTAAAAACCTTTGCCATCTAACTTCTTACTATTCAAACATTCTTATCATTCTATATCGCCATTCTTTCTTCACATACATTAAATAAACATATATTGAAAAACTTGTTTAACATTAGCTTTATCCTCTCTCAAAGACCAGGAACTTAAATAGCTTTCTTGAAATATTTTTTTTATTTTATCCTCTATTTTTTTCAGACAAAACTCTCTAGTCTGATGAGGGACAAACTTCAAGATGACTTTTTGATTTCTGCTTCGGATTTTGTATCAAAGTAAGTATACTCTAAAACGCTCCTTTTGTTTTCTTAATAATTTTCAAACATGTTACCAGTACATTGTGAGAAATTTATAAAAAAGGTTGCTCAATGGAATTACTTAATTAAATGTGTCCCAACCCAAACATTTCATTAGGGGCTTCTCACACACAATTTGTATCCTCTGTTTTGTAAAGGCCGACAGCAAACAAAAGTGTTAGTGCTGTGTTCATGTGCCAAAAGAGTACAGCATCTTAAAATTAAAATAAAATTATATATTTTTATGAATAAAAAAATAACAGTTTTTAAATTAAAAAGCATCATTTCAATGAATAGAAATAAAGTGTTGAAAATGAATACTGCAGATATGTATTACAGATGTCAGTTTAATAACTCCTCTTAAAAATATAATTTGAGGAAATTACACTTGACCTGCAATCACTCTAGTTCTAGTTACCTAGTTTTTCATTTAAATACTTGTCCATCCAAATGGGACAGCAACATGGTTGTTATCTTCAATTGTAAAATCGCACACATAGTAGACAAATAAAGCTAAGTGGATTAGCCAGTCTGCTGAGAGTTTTGTCTAAATAAAAATGAAAAAAATAAATATCAAGAGTTCACAGTTGTAATTTTCTTACCTTATATAATTAGAAGGTGTTTAAATTTGTATCTGTAATATTTCCAGTATTCGTTTTCAATACTTTGTTTAAATTTGTATGGACTAAATGCATTTAATGATCCTGTACAGTAGAACCCCGTTTAACCGAATTCGGGTTAAACAAAACGGTTCTATAAAATAATGCAGAACTAAAATATAAGTAATACGTAATGTAAAATGCTTTAGTAACTTCAGTTGTATAGTTGAAGGTATTTTCTAACCCATTGTAACATTTCTGTAGCTAAAATAAAATACTGTATTATATAGACATTGTTTTAAATCCATTTTTCCAACTCACCAAGGTAATATATAGGCTATTTTTAGCATATGAGGAATTTACCAAATAATTGGTTATCCGAAACGGCTTTCCCCCCTTTATTTCTAATAACCGGGGTTCTATTGTACTTTTAATAAGACTAAGAGATGATTGTTGCTAGTCAATAACTCCATGTACAGTATTAAAAAACAATTAACTGATGTAAACTTAGTCATGGCTTATGGATGTTTTAATTTAATAATTTATTAAAGAAATGTTACATGTTTCAGGGACGATGTTATCGAAACCTCCCTTCAGTTTTATTTGGATGATGATCCAGAGGGGTCTATAGCTCTTAACTTGGCAGACTTGGTTGTAAACGAACAAAACTCAGAAAGGATGTAAGTACTGTCTTGCAATTAAAGTTCTATCATTTTCTTTACTATAGTATACAGGGTGAGGCAATGAGAACACTGCAAATTGAAATTATATATAGTACACATTTAATACCATCAGTAATAATTAACCCTATAAACTATCGCATGAAAACAAAACTCATCTTATGACATTGTAACTTAGTAGGTTAATTTTTTAATTTCTTGTTGTTAGGTGTTAATTTTGGGAAGGGTAAATTTTACACCTTAAGCCTCAGATGTGCTTAGTCGGGCGTGGCCAGGGTTCAATTATGATTTATAATTTGGCTGGGTTTAAACTATACGGATTAATCATTCAATAATTTATTGACACTATCATGGCTCAAATAAAAGCCAATCAACTCCCGATTTAGTATTGTACTTAAAAAAAATAAATAACGTTGACAGCTTTTAGCGAATTTCCCTATAGGGAAGTAGCTATTACCGTAGGTGGCACGGTAAGACCTAGACCCGGGACCGATTTACTTTTTCATTTTGATGTCCCCAGAGGCCAAAAACACCATTCGTTCAAATTTTTATATATGTATATATATATATATATATAGACTTATATATATATACGTCCGTGAACGCGATAACTTGAGTAATTTTTGTCCGATTTTGATGAAATTTGGTTTAAAGGTGTAAAGCGGGATAAACTTGAATGAGTTCGCGAACCAGCACGATCGGACCATGGGAACGGGGCTTTACTGGGGGTTTTATGGGGTAAAAATTGGTTTTTCTCACTTTTGACCCTCAAAACACAAAATTTCCCGATTTATCTTTAAACCTTTTTAAAGAGCTTAAAAAAACAAATAATTTAGTATATAAAAGTATTTTTGTTCGATTGTTAGTAACGGAGAAAATTTAAAAAATTGTAAATTTAAAATTCCCATGTTATTCTTATGGAGAATATTGTCAAATGTTGTAGTTTGCTTGTTTATGGATATATTTTGATCAAACTTGGCAAATTTATTTATTTTGTACTAAGCTATCAATATTTTACTCAAAAACACACTTTATTAGTTTCCTTGTAGCAGCAAACCTAGGTACTCGTTAAACCTAATGTTATTAAAATATATTTAACTGGAAATCAATTCAGACAAATGGAAATTCGCTTAGTCAGCAGGTTTGCTGCGGCGGGGGTATTTTTACCTTGCATTTGCCTGTCCGTATGGGCCACAGAGGCCTGTGCGTGGAACATATGCAGCAAAGCAATGGATGAGCCTTTACAGTACAAGGGTGAACTGTACTGATAAAAAGTAGATGGCTGGTACCAGGACCCAAACCCACGACATTGCTGCATTGGGCCCCTAAGTCTGTGGCGCTACCGACTCACTAAAGGTTGTTTAGGTTGAGTAACAAACGCCTCCTAAAATAACCTGAGGTTAGTTGTTGTGAACTGCAGATCACTGAAGGGGTGATATTTACTCTCATACTGTAATGAAAGGTTGCTATTTCTTTCTTGTAAGAAGCTGCTAAAATCATTTAAAGGATAATAAATGTAAAAGGAAATTTATAATGGGTTACATACCTTTTTGTCCGTCTTCAGTCTTTAATATTGTCAAGGGTGACTAGTTTCAGGTCAATGACCCATTTTCAAATCCACATCAAATTGGATGGTCCAGGTATCCGATGGAAGTCTTTGTTATAATAAATAGATAGACTTTGACATATAAAGTTCACATTTTAACACAAAGAGTATTTAATGATGGTAGGCCGGCCACTTTTATACGAGGGACACACCGATGCAGTTAGCACGGGCGGGCACAACAAAATTAGCCGTTGTCGAAGCAGGTGGAGTGGGGGTACGTCAGCTAGCTGGTAATGGTATGTAATGGGGAGCGATAATGGTGCGTAACCATTATAGCATTAGATCTATTGTTGACAATTTCTGTCCTATCGAATAAAGTATTCGAGCCAGAATTTAGTTTTTTGCTCAGGACGTCGAGAGGGGATTTTTCTGTGGCTTTATGAATTTCAAAATTATCTAAAACGTTCATAAGGGAACCTTTACTGGATTTGTATAAAATCTGTAAAATAAATTGACAACTAATCAATAGTTACGGTTGGCATTTCATAAATGGGGAGCGAGCTGGTCTAGTGGTAGAGCGTGGGACTTAGGTCCCTGAGATCCCGGGTTCAAATCCCGCCTGATCACTAATGGATTTGATCTAAGTGATAATGCCGCAACCCTAGCCTGAAGTAATGTGAAAACCAATCCCAGGCTTGTGCCTAGCGTCCTACGAAAAATGAAAAAATGTTTGGCATTTGGTAAGTGTTCTGTGAATTTGGAACGTTGTTGTGACAGTTTTTATCTTACAGAGATGTTCCTTAAATTTGGTTTTGAAAGAGCGTCCTATGTACATAAATACATACATATATACAGCGATTAGCCTATGTAGCCTACAATTTAGTGAGAATGATGCACAGCTGGGCTGACACATCTTGCTGTACATAGAGTTGTAATATTGTAATTTGGTACAGTAGTTTCACTGTGGGAGTGAGTTGTCTTCACCCGTTGTTGAGGCTGCTGAGAGGACTGGAGATGAGTGACCTGAGTGAGAATGACACACTGCTTAGCTGTCACATCTCTCTGTACACAGAGTTGTAATTGTGATTTGGTACAGGAGGTCTACTGTGGGAGTGAGTTGTCTACACCCGTTGTTGAGGCTGCTGAGAGGACTGGAGATGAGTGACCTGAGTAAGAATGACGCACAGCTGGGCTGACACATCTTGCTGTACACAGAGTTGTAATTGTGATTTGGTACAGGAGGTCTACTGTGGGAGTGAGTTGTCTACACCCGTTGTTGAGGCTGCTGAGAGGACTGGAGATGAGTGACCTGAGTGAGATAGACGCACTGCTTAGCTGCCACATCTGTCTGTACACAGAGTTGTAATTGTGATTTGGTACAGGAGGTCTACTGTGGGAGTGAGTTGTCTACACCCGTTGTTGAGGCTGCTGAGAGGACTGGAGATGAGTGACCTGAGTAAGAATGACGCACAGCTGGGCTGACACATCTTGCTGTACACAGAGTTGTAATTGTGATTTGGTACAGGAGGTCTACTGTGGGAGTGAGCTGTCTACACCCGTTGTTGAGGCTGCTGAGAGGACTGGAGATGAGTGACCTGAGTGAGATAGACGCACTGCTTAGCTGCCACATCTGTCTGTACACAGAGTTGTAATTGTGATTTGGTACAGGAGGTCTACTGTGGGAGTGAGTTGTCTACACCCGTTGTTGAGGCTGCTGAGAGGACTGGAGATGAGTGACCTGAGTAAGAATGACGCACAGCTGGGCTGACACATCTTGCTGTACACAGAGTTGTAATTGTGATTTGGTACAGGAGTTCTACTGTGGGAGTGAGTTGTCTACACCCGTTGTTGAGGCTGCTGAGAGGACTGGAGATGAGTGACCTGAGTGAGAATGACACACTGCTTAGCTGTCACCTCTCTGTACACAGAGTTGTAATTGTGATTTGGTACAGGAGGTCTACTGTGGGAGTGAGTTGTCTACACCCGTTGTTGAGGCTGCTGAGAGGACTGGAGATGAGTGACCTGAGTAAGAATGACGCACAGCTGGGCTGACACATCTTGCTGTACACAGAGTTGTAATTGTGATTTGGTACAGGAGTTCTACTGTGGGAGTGAGTTGTCTACACCCGTTGTTGAGGCTGCTGAGAGGACTGGAGATGAGTGACCTGAGTAAGAATGACGCACAGCTGGGCTGACACATCTTGCTGTACACAGAGTTGTAATTGTGATTTGGTACAGGAGGTCTACTGTGGGAGTGAGTTGTCTACACCCGTTGTTGAGGCTGCTGAGAGGACTGGAGATGAGTGACCTGAGTAAGAATGACGCACAGCTGGGCTGACACATCTTGCTGTACACAGAGTTGTAATTGTGATTTGGTACAGGAGGTCTACTGTGGGAGTGAGCTGTCTACACCCGTTGTTGAGGCTGCTGAGAGGACTGGAGATGAGTGACCTGAGTAAGAATGACGCACTGCTGGGCTGACACATCTTGCTGTACACAGAGTTGTAATTGTGATTTGCTACAGGAGGTCTACTGTGGGAGTGAGTTGTCTACACCCGTTGTTGAGGCTGCTGAGAGGACTGGAGATGAGTGACCTGAGTAAGAATGACGCACAGCTGGGCTGACACATCTTGCTGTACACAGAGTTGTAATTGTGATTTGGTACAGGAGGTCTACTGTGGGAGTGAGTTGTCTACACCCGTTGTTGAGGCTGCTGAGAGGACTGGAGATGAGTGACCTGAGTAAGAATGACGCACAGCTGGGCTGACACATCTTGCTGTACACAGAGTTGTAATTGTGATTTGCTACAGGAGGTCTACTGTGGGAGTGAGTTGTCTACACCCGTTGTTGAGGCTGCTGAGAGGACTGGAGATGAGTGACCTGAGTGAGATAGACGCACTGCTGGGTTGTCACATATGTCTTCCGGCGCCTCAGGTGTATACAGAGTTTGGACAGGCCACTGATTACCAGCAACATGTCTCACTGCATTGCCTCTTCCATTGTGTCAACTGGCTCATTGAAATCGTCAACTGCTTCTCCTATCTGATCAAGAAAAACGAACCCGAAAAGGTACAATTGTTCTACTTGCAGTTTGCAGTCCATTGATGTTTGTATGTTTGATTGATTTTTCCATATTATTTTTTTGATTGTTGAAAATACCTCCCTTTTTAGAGGTTTTATCTGAGCTGAAATATTTCTGTTCAAAATTAAGTGTTAGTTGTTCATTATTGGAATAATGCAATACAACTTGCAGTCCTCGTATAGTTTGCTATAGACAGTGGGAAAAAAAACCCGTGATAGAACAAAAAAGATGCTTCCAGATTTAATAAGCAACATGACGGTCACAAAAGATGACCCATTCAACTAAAAAAATAATCATTAGCAATACAACTGCCACAAACACAAAAAAACCACAAGTCCACTGCCACAATCATTTACAAGTGACCACCACAAAACCAGCAACCAGCAACATCACTGGCCAGTTAAATTACTGACATTGTAACCTCAATAAGTATTGCTAATGCTGTTAACCACAAATACAAGGTCCAACATGTGTTTGTGTGTGTAGGTGGTAATGCGTGTACGACTGATTGTGTGGTTAAGAGGACTTTTGTCACGCTGTCTGCCTCTGGCCATGCAGTATACTCCTCCAGTCTGCTACTTCCAGGCATTACCCAGACCCAAGGCCAACAGTAGTCAGGAGAAACCAGCCAAGTAAGATATAAGACTATTGAGGTTCAAGACTGTAATTTAAGAATATCTTCAAGAAAACGTAATCAATTTGTACCTCAAGAGGACATAATTTTATATTTAGCATATCTTCAAAACTTAAGTAAACATTTTCTTTTTAAAACCTAAGTTATAAGTAAATTCAGTGGACTTGGACATCAACATGTTTAATTATTGGAATATTTTAGATTAAACTTTAATTATTTGGACATATTTTATTAATTTAATCATTGCATTCAAGCCAGCACGACACCCTACCCTGAGAAAGAGACCCTTGTCAAATTAGACTTTTAGAAATATAAATATAAATTTAATTGGTCTAATTTTTTAAAACTAATCTTTCCACATTACTGTAGGCCCACATTTCAAAGTAGAAATTCGGCTAGTCTGCAGGTTTGCTGAGGTGGGAGTATTTTATGCTTAGTATAGTTTGTCTTTTAAACATGTTATGTTTTAGTTTTAATAGATCAAAGGTTTTCCTTAATAAATGTTAATTGAAATACTAAATAATATGTACATAGCATGCCATGATTATATATCTGCCACATTTTTATAACAATATAATTTAATTGACGAGACACCAGTTAATGTTATTTGTGTCAATAAATTGATTTGATTTGATTTTAATGTATTTCTTATCATGCATATAGCTTAGTGCAGTTTTGCTATGTAAAATGTTGTATTCGTCTCTCTTAATGAGTGTTGCTTTCTGGCCTTTCGTCATTTATTTAATGCTCCTCATATAACCTGTTTCTTTGTTTGAAGTTCATTGTTGCTGATGGTGAGTGTTGTTTTTTACATTCGTGATGGAAAATGTCCGCAATAAACCTTTGAACAACATAACCTGTTTGTTTTCTCCCCCAGACTTGGGGTAGAGCGAACAAATATTAGGGGTTCTCTCTTTTTTTTATAAATATTTTATCTTCACTATTTTTAGGAAGAAAACCAAAAGGAAAGGGAAGAAGAAAAGCAAAAAGAATCAGGAGGATCAACCTTTGACAGGAACGGTGGCGGAGATGAGTCATGTGAGTGAGGAAGAGGAAGAAGAAGTGACAGAAGAGCGGTTGGCAGACCTTACCAAATACAGGGTATACTTCAGAGAGCTCGACATTGATGTGTGGTTAGTGTTGACTCAGCCGTTGACACTCGCTCCTACGCCAGAGAAGGTAACTAACTACCTTAACATTATGGTAGTAGAACTAAAAAATACAGTCAAGTCTCATTTGAGAATTCTTGATCTTCAGCAGATGAGGTGCCATTGAATTGGAAAAAGTATTACCTGGTTGGATAGTTTACAGTTATTTGTTTACCCTTTGTGATTTAATTTTAACAATGATCGTATAGACTTGTTATAGTGTTATTTTATTTTCATTCTCTGACCTGTTGATTAAGTGTTTAAACCAAAACTCAAATCCTATGACCTTTTCCTCTAAACATTTGGAAAAGTTTAATTTTTGAGGCTCAGTTGGCAAGTGTAAATAAACTGTATTAGCAATCTGACACATACTTTTTTGATTAGCTTGTCAACAACCCTTATTGTTGGTAAGCAGTGGGAGTAACAATGATATTTAATGAGGGAAATCACAGTAGTCTCAATAGTGTAACATATGGTTGGAAAGCTTATAAAATGGCCCAGTTTTTAACATATTCCGACACTTTCTTGCATACAGGGTGTGAAAAATGCAATAGACCATTGTTTTTAAAATTGTTATCAAACATCTTAATTTTTATCTTTGAATCTACAGTAGAACCTCTTTAATCCGAACGCCCACTAATCCGAACGCCTCATTCCTGTACTCTATAAACAGAACAGTAGTTTTTTATTGAATACTGCACTTAATGATACACGCACCGTAATTATTTCAATTGTAATGGACAGTACTGTTTATTCCCTATGGTTACTACTGTACTAAATGAACACTGTATTTTACTTTATAAAGCATTTTCACTTTTCCCTAGCTGATGTTATGTAAAAACAACAATATGTTCTGTAATCCGAACTATTCAATAGTCCGAACTACCCCCGGTCCCAATTAGTTCGGATTAAAGAGGTTCTACTGTATTTACAATGGAGTTTTTACAACTGATCCTCTGTCATTTTCTATTATTCTTGTTCAAAATTTAATGTAGAACACAAAAATGACATTATCTACTTAAATCCATATATAGGTGATTGAGAAATTGCTGTATTAAGTTTAAAAGCATGGTTATTTTTGAAAAATATAAAATACATTTTTGGGAAGCTAATTTTTAGACTTGTAACATTTGATATGCATCATCACACTTCATTTACTTTGTACTTAATAAACAACAAACAATTTTTGTCACACTGAGAACCAATCACCACTCACAAAGTGTGTTAATAGTCAATGATATAGACTATTATCAGCAAGTAATCAAGCTCTTTATCTGCTAATGAAATGTACATAAAGCCTATCAAGAGGTAGAAAACAGGAATTATACTAGTACCATTTACTATTTACACTTTGTGTGTACTATATTTATATATTCTTGTAACATCTGGCAACATCACCCTCGATCTGATAAAAAGGTGGCAAGTGATAAGCCTCTATAATTCAACTAGTATCAACTAGTATTCAACTAGTAGTCAGTTGAACAAGTTATTTTATGAGAAATGCAAAGGTACACTATTTTGGATCATAAAATGAACAATGATATAATAAACGTGCAATAATTATATTAGCCGACTTTAGAGTGTTCCAAATAAACTATGATGTGCCACTCTTTACAATCTTCAACGTCAGTCGAGTTTTGCATCATAATTAACCTCACTTTTCAGAATCAGTATCGAGTACACTGGAGTATTGAGTATCGGCGATTTTTTTTAACACCACCGATATTATTTGGTATCGGCCCAAGAGTAGTTATTTAACTGGTCAAAGTAACAACTTGTATTTTTCATATTATGAACCAGCAAGTAAGTAGTGTTTTACGATTAAAGATATTTGAAATGTAATATACTGTATTTGAGATCTGTTATTGACCATATTCTCCCTTTCTACCTACTTGTTTTTCCAGGATGGACAGTTCACCGCAGAGCTGGGACCGTCAGAGCTGCTATATCTGCTGGACGACTATGTCTCCAAGTTGTCTCATTCTCTCACAGCCTCTCACAAGCGCATCTCCTTCCTCAAAACTGCCAACAGTAACAATGTGGTTGGATTTGAAAACTTGGACAAATTCCCCCCGCTACATATCGCAAAGAACACAATCAAGCTGTTGTCGTTCTTGTGTGGCTTCTTGGAGAAAACCGTCGAGTTTACTCAGGTTTGTCTTGTTTTTTGGTGACTTACTTTATCTTTTAACGTTTTAATTGTTTTTATGTTTTCTATCAATCTTTTAACCACAAACTCTTTAGTTAGCTTAACACATATGATAGTTCTAATAGTTGTGGAGAGCAAAATAGTGGAAAGTGTGATTATGTTCAAGATACACTACTATAGGTCAGCCGTTTAGAAAACAACCTGCGCGAAATTTTTAGCGCATGTAGGGGAGGTAACGGAGAGGGAGGGTACGTTCCCCCTCTCCACCAATGGCCTTTTTCACAAGGTGTGTGGATAGTGACGTCACGTGCTAGCTGAACGTGTTTTATTTCACCAAATCATATGTTTTCCTGTAATTTCCCAAAGACTTTCGAATGACAATCATTACGAGTTAGCATTGAATATACAACACTATTAAGCGTTTTATATCCAATATAGTGTTGTATTCAATATTGAATATAGTCATAGTGTTATACAGTACAGGGTGCGGCAAAAAAACCGAACCATTTTCTGCAAAGCACTGTTCAGCGACAGGTTGTCTGAAAGTGGTGGGAGTAAGCTCGTTGGAAAGCCTACACAATGCCATTTTTTCTAGTCACAGAGCAGTGGTCGCCTGAGCTACGTGAGGTTGTTATGGAGTTGTTTTTAAAAAGTATTGAATTCATTCATTGCAACTCAGCAGCATAAGCAGTTTCGTGCATTCTTTCAATTCAGGCGGCATGGAGAAGTTCCGTTGCGTATAACAATAATGCGGTAGGTTACTAACTTTAGAACAACGGCTTCTGCGTTGAAAAGGAAGCTGAAAGGCCGACCAAAGTCAGATCGGATGCCAGACAACGAACATTCGACAGAGTTCGTACTGCTGTGGAAAACAGTCCTCGCAGGCCCACCCGAAAACAAGCGGCTGCCCGAACATGTCTGACTGTTCAGTTACACGAATTTTGAGGTTGGTTTTCATCCCTACAGATTAGTTAGAATAATTATCTGTTTAATGGTGTTATCCATACAGATAATTACGACGGATCCTCTCCATGCCGAATTAATAAATAAAAGCACGGAACTGCCACTGAGTTGCAACATAGACTAAGCAAAACAAGTAGACTCCTCATCCCATTGTAAATATTGTAGCTTTGTTTTTCGTGTCTAGTTCATGTACGTCCACACTGATCGCTGGGGTAGACAACATTTTGTTTCTATTATTTTAGGGTTATTTTCATGATTTGTGCTTTACTATATGGTTATATAACTAGAAGACCAGTTATTGTTTATGATTAAATCGTTTTATTTGGTTAAATGAGGTTTTAAATTACTGAAATAACAAGAAACAAAATGTAAACAAAACATAACCTCTACAGTTAAACGTACAGAACTAACAATAAAATACCCCCGCCGCGGCAAGACTGCAGACTTATCGAATTTCCATTTGCCCGATTGGACTTACCCTAAAATGTCTCCTTAACAATATCACATTTATTCCCTATTTAAATAGAATTAGTTTAACGAGTAGGTTTGCTGAAACAAGGAAGGGTAAAAAATTGTGTTTTTTTTATGTAAAATGTTAAAAGGTACTGTAGTTTAGTAAGAAATTAATGTTTTTTCCAAATTTGATCAAAATTAGTTCATAAACAAGTAAACTACAACAGTTTACTTATTCTCAATAAGAATAACATGGGAATTTTAAAATTACAACTTTTTTGAATTTTTCTCGTATAATTAGGCGCATAATAACGCTTCAATATACCAAATTATTTGTTTTTTAAGCTCTACAGAATGGTTTAGAAAGAAATTGTGAATTTTTGCGTTTTTAGGGTCAAAAATGGGAAAACCCTATTTTTACCCCATAAAACAGCCCATAAACAGACAATCATCACGAATCTTGCCGCGATTAAGATATAGCCGCAATCACAAAGTCATGGAAGCTGAGATAATCGCAGGAGATTATCGCGGATGTTGCCACGATTGTGTAAGACGCAAATAACGCGACTGCAATTAGCCTATAATGGTGATGCCACCATCGCAAGTAACACACAAGCAAGTAAGTAAGTCACATCTTAGTGACGGCCTTTTAGTGAATTTCCTATATAGGGTATAAGTTATCACCGTAGTACTCATGGTAATACCTCTGGACCCGGGATGGCAAGGCGAATAAAAGAAGGTGTGTGCACGCACATCCCCCACTTCTCCAATCAGCCAATCAAGTATTTACTGCTTTACTGTTTTTCGGTTAAATAGTAGTGTTATATTGTATAACACTACTCGCCTTTGGCTCGCTGGGGGCTCCGCCCCCAGGCCCCCTAGCTGTTAGTCGTCATTAGCGGTGGGATGAAGGGGTGTGAATTAGTAGATAGTAGTTTAGTTGTAACAAAGAGGGTAACAAAGCAGTCAATGAAACAGTTCCCAAGAATTTACATAGATTGGGAAAAGTAGCGAAAATTGGGGGTAAAATTTTGTAAGTACAAATGTGCCACAGGGCGACAGGAATTTCAGGATTTTTAGCTAATCTAGAAATTGGTAAACGTGATTTAGACCGATGAATCTGTGGTGGCTATAGGATAGATATAAGGGGGATTTCGAGAGGGGGGGACTTTTTAAATGGTCCTTATTATATTCATACCTTGGTGTTAGCTCTAATACAGTAAACTTTGTATAGTTTTAATAACCTTGTGCATACAGAAAAGGTAAAGAGTCTATTATTACCTCGTGAAACTGGTGAAACCTTTTAAATTTTGATATTCAACTTTTAAGTTTTGGGGGTTAAAGAGTAAAGTTACGAAAAAACATGTATGATTAAAACCGAAATTAAGCCAAGGAAAATACAAAGCATTAATAACATTTGCAAAAAGTGATTATTTAAGTATGTAAAAATTGCGAAAACCAGTAAAAATTTGAAAAATACCAATTTCTGATAGCCGTAAAAAAACGTGTTATATCGTCTTTAGATATCCGCCATTTTGGACTTTTGGGGAGTTAAAAATTTTAAAATGTGACTTTTGCAAATTTCACCCTTAACTTAGTATCCCATACTACAATACTGCCAAATTACAAGTCTCTAGCACGATTCTAAACGATTCTGATGACCATAACAAAGTCATTAAATTTCAATGTTATTCTCCATAATAATAACATTGGGCTCGTAGTTTTGGGGGTCAAGGAGTAAAGTTACGAAAAAAAATTAAATGAGTAAAATTTAAAGCAAAGTAAGGGAAAAACAATAATAATATTTGCAAAAATAAATTATTCAAGTATAAAAAAATTGCGAAAACCGGTAAGAATTTTATAGAAATTTACCAAATTTTGAAAGTAGGGGGAAGCTGAAGCAGTGCGATTTTCGGGTAACGCTTAAAAGGGTTTTGTAGAAAATTTAATTCCTGTTCATGAAAAATCTTTCAAATCTTTTCTAGCTCTTACAGTTTTCGAACTATAGCCGACTGAAAAAAAACGTGTTTTGTCGTTTTCAGAGGTCCGCCATTTTGGATTTTTGGGTGTGTTAAAATTTAAAAATTGGAATTTGCAAATTTCACCATTAACTTAGGATCCATTACTAGAATACTAACAAATTTCAAGTCTCTAGCACATTTCTAAACGATTCATTTGACCATACCAAAGTCATCAAATTTCAATCTTATTCTGCATAAGAATAATATGGGGCTCGTAAAAGTGGTAAAAACTTAAGTATTTTGGGTCAAGGAGTAAAGTTACGAAATAACATGTAATGTGTAAAATTTAAAGTAAAGTAAGGAGAACACAAAGCAATATTAATATTTGCAAAAAGGAATTATTTAAGTATGAAAAAATAGCGAAAACCGGTAAAAATTTGAAAGAAATTTACAAAATTTTAAAATTAGGGTGTTTTTTTAAGCTTAAGGAGTGCGATTTTTGGAAAACGCCTAAGAGGGTTTTGTAGAAAATTTAATTTCCTTTCGCTAAGATCCTTTCAAATCTTTTCTAGCTCTTACCGTTTTCGAAATACATCCGGTTGAAAAAAAAGTGTTTTTTCGTTTTCAAATGTCCGCCATTTTGAATTTTTGGGGGGGTTAAAATTTGAAAATGGGACTTTTGCAAATTTCATCATTAATATAAGATCCCCTACTACAATAATACCAAGTTTTAAGTCTCTAGCACGTTTCTAAACGGTTCAGTTGAGCACACCAAAGTCTACCATTTTCAATGTTATTCTCCATAAGATTAACATGGGGCTTGTAAAAGTGGTAAAAAAACCTTTAAATTTTGACATTAAACCTAAGTTTTGGGGGTTAAGGAGTGAGGATACAAAAAAACATTAAATGAGTAAAATATAAAGTAAAGTGAGATTAATACAGAAAATTAATAATATCTGCAAAAATAAATTATTTAAATATGAAAAAATAGCGAAAACCGTAAAAAGATTCAAAGAAATTTACAAAATTTTGAAAGTAGGGCGTTTTTTGAAGGTTAAGGAGTGCGATTTTTGGAAAACGCCAAAGAGGGTTTTGTAGAAAATTTAATTTCCTTTCGCTTAGATCCTGTCAAATCTTTTCTAGCTCTGACCGTTTTCGAGCTACATCCGGTTGAAAAAAAAGTGTTTTTTCGTTTTCAAATGTCCGCCATTTTGAATTTTTGGGGGGGTTAAAATTTGAAAATGGGACTTTTGGGAATTTCACCGGTAATGTAAGATCCCATACTACAATACTACCAAGTTTCAAGTCTCTAGCACGTTTCTAAGTGGTTCAGATGAGCATACTAAAGTCGGCATTTTTCAATGTTTTTCTCCATAAGAATAACATGGGGCGTGTAAAAGTTGTAAAAAACCTTTAAATTTTGACATTAAACCTAAGTTTTGGGGGTTAAGGAGTAAAGATACAAAAAAACATTAAATGAGTAAAATATAAAGTAAAGTGAGATTATTACAGAGCATTAATAATATCTGCAAAAAGAAATTATTTAAATATGAAAAAATAGCGAAAACCGTAAAAAATGTGAATGAAATTTACAAAATTTTGAAAGTAGGCCGTTTTTTGAAGCTGAAGGTGTCCGATTTTTGGAAAACGCCCATGAGGGTTTTGTATAAAATTTAATTCCTGTTCCTGGATATACTTTCAAATCTTTTCTATCTCTTACCGTTTTCGAGCTACATCCGGTTGGAAAAAACGTGTTTTGTCGTTTTCAGAGGTCCGCCATTTTGGATTTTTGGGTTGGTTAAAATTTGAAAATGGGACTTTTGTAAAATTCACCGTTAATTTAAGATCCCATAGTACAATACTACGCAAATTTCAAGTCTCTAGCACGTTTCTAAACCGTTCGGATGGGCACACCAAAGTCGGACATTTTTAATGTTATTCCCCATAAGAATAACATGGGGGGGAAACCCTTAATTTCGGGGGGGTTAAAATTTAAAAATGTCACTTTTTGGAATTTTCCCGGAGGTTTGGGCACTAGACCTACAAAACACCGAAAATTTCAAGTCTCTAGCTCATCTAGAAGTGGGCTAGAAGTGGGCTGTATATATATTAGACTACAGTATATTCATTCAATGTTGAATACAACGCTATTTTGGATATATAAAACTAAATAATAGTGTTATATATTCAATGCTGATTCCTAATGATTGTCATTCAAAAGTCTTTCGAAAATTATAAGAAAACATATGATTTGGTAAAATAAAATGTAAAATAAAATAAAGGGCGGTGGTGGGGTGGCAGTGGAGTGGGGGAAGAGCCATATTCTGTCTCACTCCCACAGCTCGGTATCTCTCTCTCGCACCAATGCTACGAGGAGGACGCTTTCTAAGCGGCTGACCTATAATAGTATTTCCTGATATTACTGGTATTCAAACCTAACCTGACCAACTTGGCCAAGTGGGACGAGTGTTGAGTGACACTACAAGCACATGGTGGCACTAGTGCTTGCAGGGTTGTAGGTTAGATTGGACAAACTACAGTACTTATGGGACAGTGTACTAGCAGTATTGCTACCTTCTTGCAAAATTTGGTGATGAGCTACATAGTGTCAATGGGTTGAACCCACAATAATAATAATGTCATGTATTCTTTCTAGAACCTGGTTAAAGTCAATGATGGGATCCTAGACTCAACAGGAATGTTTATGGAAGGCTCAGCAGAAATCAAGATGTGTCAAGCAAGATTGTTGAGGATCCTGGCAATACTGTTCTCCTGGGTTGGCTTACAAAATCCTGCAAATAGCAACTACCTATTAGGTAAGATAAAAAAACCATTATTTAACTTGGTATGATGATATAGTCGACTGCAGTTTCTCACCAAACGCACCAGAAACATAGCCTAGGAGCTTGCCTGATAATCAAGGCTACACGCCAGCCTGTGACCAGGGCTGTCAGCTGCCACTAACATCAAAGAAGTGGTGATGCATTTTCTCTCCTGTCCTGCCATGGTCATTGGTCAACCTACATAGGAAGATAGAAAACTGCATGGTCAATAAGTAGCCTGTCTGAATAGATCACGGACAGGAAACAGCAGAATTTTGGGCCAAAAAATCTATATATACAGAGTGTTCATAAAAAACGTTTTAGGACTTTGGGATGTGGATCCTCATACCAAAAGAAATAAAAGGTGTATTTAAAGCCATGTCCAAAAATGCATTTTTACCCTGATATCCACCATTCAGTTTTTTATACATAACCATTTTTATTATTGAAGTTTTTCAACCGATCTTTTGTAAACTTAGTGTGTATGTAAATAAACTTATTGGTATGTTTAATAAACTTGCTAACCCTAGAGCAGCGCTTTACCAGAAAAACAGGAACAGGCGTATACAGAGTTTTATTCTTCCGCAACACTAAATTTAACCCATATTATTGGTTTTTATAACACAGTATTGTATTTAAATATTGAATAACTTAATAGGAACTTATTATTATTAAAAATTACTTTTAATGGCCATTGTCTTAACCATTTTTAGCTGCCATTTTGTTATTAGTGGTCCGATTTCTATTTTATTTATGTTGATTGTTTAGTTTTGTTAAGACCTGAAAAATGATACCAAACTCGACCATACTTCTATTTGAAAATGTTGAGCTCATTCGATCCTTTAGCAAACCTATAGGGAAGTAGCTATTACCGTAGGTGGCACGGTAAGACCTAGGCCTGGGACCGATTTACTTTTTCATTTTGATGTCCCCAGAGACCAAAAACACCATTCGTTCAAATTTGTATATATGTATATATATATACATATATATATGTATATGCATGTATGTATATACATGTATGTATATACAGGGTGTTGAAAATGTCTGGAACCAACATTATATCTGGTGAGTGGTTAAAGAAAAACAACTGATATTTTGTGTACGGATATACTATGGTTTTACCTATCTTTTGGTGCCTTATGCAATTTTTTACCACTTATAGGGAACGTCCTGTGGAGGATGCAGTAAAAAGTTTTAATGGAAGCCTATGGTAAATGATACATCATTTTAAAGGCCATTTTTTTCTGAGTAAGGAGCCCCAAGTTTCATCTCCAAAGGACCACCCTAGCAAAAATGGCGACTGTTTGAAATTTAAAAACATTGCTATTTAAAAGGTCCGTATTTGTTTCCTTTAAATGCTATTACAAGCCAGTTACGAAGTACAGTAGTTAATCACGTGGTGAACTGAAAAATCACTGAATAAAAAATTTAACTAAATTGTTTGTGTTGCTTTACTAAACTTATTTTTAACAGAAATACCAATTAAGCTTTCAATTATTTTCAAAAACTTCAAACAGTCGCCATTTTTGCTAGGGTGGTCCTTTTGAGATGAAACTTGCGGCTCCTTACTCAGAAAAAAATTGCCTTGAAAATGATGTATCATTAACCATAGGTTTCCATTAAAGCTTTTTACTGCATCCTCCACAGGACGTTCCCTATAAGTGGGTTTTTAAATTTCAAACAGTCGCCATTTTTGCTAGGGTGGTCCTTTTGAGATGAAACTTGGGGCTCCTTACTCAGAAAAAAATGGCCTTTAAAATGATGTATCATTTACCATAGGCTTCCATTAAAACCTTTTACTGCATCCTCCACAGGACGTTCCCTATAAGTGGGTTTTTAAATTTCAAACAGTCGCCATTTTTGCTAGGGTGGTCCTTTTGAGATGAAACTTGGGGCTCCTTACTCAGAAAAAAATGGCCTTTAAAATGATGTATCATTTACCATATTCTTCCATTAAAACTTTTTACTGCATCCTCCACAGGACGTTCCCTATAAGTGGTAAAGAATTGCATAAGGCACCAAAAGATAGGTAAAACCATAGTATATCCGTACACAAAATATCAGTTCTTTTTCTTTAACCACTCACCAGATATAATGTTGGTTCCAGACATTTTCAACACCCTGTATGTGTGTGTCCGTGAACACGATAACTTGATTATTTTTTGTCTGATTCCTGATTGTGATGAAATTGGTTTCAAGGTGTAAGGCGGGATAAACTTGAATGAGTTCGCGAATCAGCATGATCGGACCATGGAAACGGGGTTTTACGGGTGGTTTTATGGGGTAAAAATTGGTTTTTCTCATTTTTGACCCTCAAAACGAAAAATTCCCAATGTCTCTCTATCCCTTTTTAAAGAGCTTGAAAAACAAATAGTTTAGTTTATCCAAGTGTTTTTGTACAGTTATTGGTAACAAACAGAGAAAATTAAAAAAAATTTTAAATTTAAAATTTCTATCTTCCATGTAATTCTTATGGAGAATATTGTAAAATGTTGTAGTTTTCTTGTTTATGGATATATTTTGATCAAACTTGGCAAATTTATTTTATACTAAGCTAATAATATTTTACTAAAAAGCAATTTTATTAGTTTCCTTGTAGCAGCAAACCTATGTACTCGTTAAACCTAATGATATTTAAATAGATTTAATTGAAAATCAATTCGGAACAATAGAAATTAGCTCAGTCGGCAGGTTTGCTGCGGCGGTGTTGTTTGATCTCGGTGTCGTTTGAAAGGGAATTTTAAACGCTAAATAAAAGTGTTCTTGACTTTTTTTCACAAACTAAGCAATTTTTCAGTATTAAGTTTATAAAAACTAAAATGGTCACTATTTTCAAGTTTAAAAATTGAATCTCTTTGGAATCAAAGAATTGGCCTATTTCAAAGATAAGCTTCAAAGATAAAATTATTTATGTATAAAAAAACAAAATGACGGGTATCTGGTTAAATGCATTTTGAGACATAACTTCACACAAACCTTTTTCTTTCTTTTGGTATGAGGATCCATATCCCAAAATCCTGAAGCGTTTTTTATGGACACCCTGTATAAAAGCTAATAAGGGTCACAAACTTTTGAGAAAACCATAAGCTGCACACCTATCAACCGTATAATTGAATGAAAGGTCTTGATGAGAAACCTCCCTGAAAAATTGTAAGTTTTTGAAAGACCTCTCTCCTAAGGACACAAACCCCAATTAAAGGGCTCTTAATCACATTAAAAATATTGAAGACGCATCTATCAGTTGTTGGATTTGTTTTTATTAGTTTTGACTTTGCCACACATTTTAATGTATATACACAAGAGATTATTATTACAATAAGCAATACATTTATTTCATCGAGATTTGCTGTATAATTTCCATGGTAAGTGAATGTAACGGTTTCTTTTTTTACAGTAGATTTATCAACCCACACTATTCTCTTAAGTATTCTTGCCCCGTTGCGAAGCACGTGCAGAAAAACTTTTGTTGAGACCTATCCGTAATGAGACTGTTAATTCTTTTAATGAGCAAAAATGTCAAAAATTTGTGTTAGACTTGTTTGTTTAATTGGTGAGAGGTACATCATTTTGAGCACAAAGATTCTTGTCTCATAATTCATCTGGTAGAGTATCATTATTTTTCCAAAATATCTCCATCAATCAGACCTCATTCTTTTACATTGCTCTCAGGCAACTCCTAGATTTAAAGCTTAAATTTAAATAAACAATTATTTAGACCTGACTTTTTTAAACTCCATAAAGCACTACTGCTTTACTATTTCTTGTCGGGAACACTGAAATGAATGAAATGAAATTAATGGGTATTCACCTACATTGGCACATAAAAAATCATTGACATCTGATTGCAGATAATCAAAAAAGTAATATAGGATTCTATATTCTATGTTATCTGTTGTCAGCTGCACTACAGAAGGTAGCTGGTCGTGTGAGTGGTGAGCAGGCCAAGACCAAGTCCAGACCTCAGCTGGTGAGAGACTGTGTACAGTACCTCACACAGTGTCATGAGCATGTCCTAGATCTGACCTCGGCCTGCACTCTCGTTGACACTATCAAAGCATTTATGCATCATGCAGAACAAGACAACAGCATCAGAAGCCAGATAGGTGAGATTAAAAGCTCTCTTATTTAACTAGTATACGTTTTTGTTTCTAGTAGGAGCTGTGAGCCAGACTTTTAGTTTCCATTTGAGTCAGGTGAGGTGAAAAAACCAGGTGGGGCCAAAATCAGGTTGCTTTGGAAAATACGAATTTAAAAATTATTTGAATTGTAATACTACAATTGGCTTGAACAATAATGAACATGATCTCCCCTATATCGCAGTGAAACGTGAACATCTTCCGAAGTGACGACAAAATCAAGATAATTTTTTTGCGGTCAGGGCAAAATCGTGAATGTCTTTTGTGGTCACAGGAAAATAGCATAGGTCTTCTGCTATTACGGAGACACCATGAACATCTTCCGCGGTTATGGAAAATTCAAAAACATTCACCGCATTCAGACGAAATCGTGAACCTATTCTGTGGTCACCCCAACCTGAGAACATATGGTGGTCAACCTAACGTGAACACAATCCGGAACCATGGGGACATCACCATTGTCTCCTAGGATAGATAAAACTGTGAACATCACCTGCGATCGCAGAAAAATTTTAAATTTTAGATTGGGCTACAATTGCAAAAATAAAAGCTTAATTGGACCTAGAAATGGCCACCTGAAACATACAACATGGCAAAATCATGTTTAAAGCCACAAAATACAGATGGGGTATTTACATTTTTTTATTCACATGTCTTATAGTACTATGAAGGCCGGCGCACACAGAGACAGACGGACTCCTGCAGGCAGACAGATTTTTTGTAACACCGCAGGAGTTCGCTAGCAGGCGGACTATTTCTTCTCCATTCTTCCTCGTGTTTTCCACTAGTTTAGTTTGGTGTTGTAAAATGGCGTGTAACAACGTAGTGTGGTGCAGTAATGATTTTCATAAATGCATTACGAAGTTAGGGGAATACCTTCACCTTATGAAGTATTTAGAACAGGATGAGGATAAGTGAAGAGGATATTTCCGATTATCTAAGGAAGAGTTTGATGAAGTATTTGGTTATGTTGAAGAGCACATAACAAAAAAAATAACTAACTGGAGGGAAAAAATATCTCTCAAAGAATGTCTTACTGTATGCTTGAGGTAAACAGTTTTTTTTAAGTAGGTAGATCTTAATGTAGCCTATTACATGTTAACTTAGTACATTTCATTTGGATGATAAGATAATACTGGGTTAAACAAACTTGAAAATATCAGAGAAAACAAGTTTAATCAATTGGTAACACTTGCAATAGTGACATTTAATTAATAGTAGGCTTACAAATTTACAAAACTAATAAAACCAGATTTGCCATCATAATGGTTGTTTGGTTGCAGAACTACACAACTGTTTTGGGACGAGCTGCTGTTCTGGCCGAAGGGGGTTTTGATTGTTTGGTTGTACAGTACTCGCAGCTAGTCTGGGCGCGCGGCCGCGCTAAGGCGGGGGGTGTAGAGGGGAGTGTTTATTGCTCATTTCAAAAAACATCTGGCCCACACGGCTCTCTGGGGTTGTTCAGCGAGGCTGTGGGGTGAGCGAGCCGTTACTCTCAGCACGGCTAGTACACAAGGGTCTGCGCGCCCAGACTAGCTGCGACTACTGTAGTTGGGGTGGGAATTTGTTCCCATGTCATTTCTATTAGCTACCATCCATTCATGTTGCCGGTTAGTTTAACTGGAACTTTGATTTTTTCCATCGCTGTAAAATTTCAAATATAAAAAAAAATCAAAACCCCACCAGTAAACATTTTAAGTTACCCCCAGCTACCCCTATTTGGTGGTGGGGGGGGGGGTGGATTTCAATATACCACAAAAAATTACTTTACATTACCCTAGTAACTGTTATCGAAGCGTGTTTGAATTTATGCAGCCATTCAAGAATAACCAGGGGGGAGTATTATGGGACACTCCGTATAGTATAGTTGTGGGATTATTGATTTCCTCTGTATAATTCATAACGTTTTTAAACAGCGAATCTCTGTGGTGAGTTCCTGGAGAGACGGTGGTATGACATGAAAGGAAATCGTGAGAAAGGAGCGGCACTCAATAGCCAGGTGGGGGAACTGCTGTCCAACTATCTTACACACTCGGCTGACCAGCTCAAGACTGTCACAGACATCCTGGGCTGGCTGTCCACCCAACACCAGCAGCTGGCTGAAAAAGATGGAGCTCTCTCTACGTTTCCTTCATTCTCTAGGTTAGATTTTGGCCTGTGTACCATAAAGAAGCTTGGAAATATATACCATTGGTAAATTAGATAACTACTGATTTTTGTTTCTTCAATCAAAATCCTTAAAACCTAGACATATATTATTCATCCTTTTTTGTATCCTAGGACGCTAGGCGCGAGACTGGGATTGTTTTTCACATTACTTCAAGCTAGAACTAGGGGTTGCGACATTATCACTTAGATCCAATCAATTTGTGATTTGAACCCAGGACCTTATGGACCTAAGTCCCACGCTCTAACCACTAGACCAGCTCGCTTCCCCAAATTGTTCATCCTTAGATTACTACTGAGTTATAGTACTTTGTATGTAGTCTTGGAAAAGTAAACTATTTGATTTGTTTTTCCAAGTAATTCATGCTACTGCTACTTTGTTTGATCTAAAAATGGTGACTTGTTATGACAATATTTACTGGCCTCAACACATAGTTTCGAGTTGGTTTTAGGATGGTAAGTATTATTTACACCCAAAATTGAACTGATACCGTTAGAGAATTTCTTTACCGCTGCAATAAACAGTTTAGTAGAAAATAAGTTTAAAAAATTGTAAATGTCTTTGAGAAAGTAGAAGCTTTGCGTTTACGTTAAACATTATTGAGGTGTTTCATGTTTGTAACAGGTTGAACCTGCACGTGTTGATCACTGGTCTACTGAAGGGACTGGAGAGTGCTGTGAGACAGAGACTGGAAGACCAGTCCAGTGACAGAGACCAGCTACAGTTGTGGTCATCTCTTACACAGGGACTGGAGACTTTGGTAGCTGTTGTCAAGGCTAACGACAGCAAACCTAACCTCAGAGTTTTCATGAAGGTAAACAAAAAAAAAAACAGTGAACAATAATTGAAAATATCGGGGACCCGCAGACTCCTAGTATTAATTAATTATTATTAATAATAGGGGTCTGTGGGTCCCCGATATTTCTGCAGGGTGACCTGGACAACCTGGAAATGTCAAGGAATATTAAATATCTGGAAAAGTCAGGGAATTTTGTCATAAGTCAGGGAATATTGTAAAATGTTTAAAATAATTTTAATAATTGTTAGGAAAGGTCGATCTGGTGAGAGTACGTATGCCGTGTGGGTGAAAACTAAGAAATATGTCTGTACAAATAAATTTTGTATTTTTGTACCCTACAAATTAAATTTTGTTATAAACTGCATATCATCTTATCAAACTCAGTTTATTTTTATTAAGGCAAGTTGCAAAGTTTCAATATAAGCTAGCCTGTATCTATGGATTTTATGTATTTTTTTGAAATATATGATATTCTTCAGATAAAGATTAGTCCTTTTAAAGAATTGGTTAGGATTAAAATTGTAATTTTGAATTTGTCGATCAGGGAAAGTTTAAAAAAATTATGGAATTGTCAGGGAAAAGTCAGGGAATTTTTCAATGTGATTTCACTAGCCACCCTGTTCTGGGTCAGGTCAAGGAAACAGTTAGATTGATTCAAATCCAAGGGATCAGGCTGGGTCCAACTCTGGCCAGTTGGAGCCAAGTTTTTGTTTTTGGGATCGAGGATACCCTCTCTCGGAGATTAGCCATTGAAAAGTGACGATTTCATCGTGTTTGTGTGTTCACTGTTTTTCTGCGAGTGAAATGTTCATGATTTCTCGGTGGCAGATGATGTTCTAGATGTTACCGTGACTTAAGATGTTCACGGTTTTGCTGTGAACATGGAAGAAGTTCATAATTTTATTGCAATATGGGAAAGATCATGTACAATATTATTTTTAAATTGATATTGTATGACAATTAATATTTGGAAAAATCAATACGTTTTCAAAAATGTTTGACCCAACTCAAACCTGAAGTAAAAAAGTCAGGCCAACAAACCTCTGAATACTATACACAACAAAACAGAGTGTATCGTACAATTTCCCGTCAAGGTTCTGTAGTTGTTTTTTTTAAATCAGTTTTATGATTTGATTGCTGATGATGAAATGAAAACGTATGTAAGGCCATTTAGTTCCAATAAAACATGTTTTAATTTATTTATAAAAACCTTAAGTTTTAGGATTAAGTTTGCTTTTGAACACAGCAGTTTTTGTCCGAAATACAACATAAATTCTATTTGATTAGACTATGTGGTACTGTTGTTTGTTTTTTTACGATGTAACAAATCTGTCTTAAATGAGTAGAATGAGCCTTCCTTAAAGACTTATTCTCTCCAACTGCAGCCAGGTAATCTATGCAATTGTATGTCAATAAGATGAAACTATCTTACAAACAACCCAATCTGCACATATTGTGTTTTTAGGGCTGCACAGCAGTGTTGAAGCTTTTCTTGTCACAAGGAATGTCTACATGCAGATTCATGTTCAAACACGAACCTGCCACTGTGTCTCAGGTGCTCAAGAAGCTTCAAGTCACTACAAGATACTTACAGACAATCTGCAACTATGTGAAGGTAGGCTATCAATGTGATCCACTGTAAAAATTGTTACTACAGTAAAGTCCTGCAGACTTGGCACCTAATAACCAGACAGCCTAGATTTCTCCGCAAATCCATAGTGAGTTTTTTTGTTGGCGTTTAACTTTATTTAGCACCCTGCAAGCGACCCTATAGTGGTCAACTGTAAAACTCAGTAGCTTCAAAAGTTACATAGCTACTAGCTAGAGCATATGTCTTTTGCCATTTAAACCTAGTGGTACTTGCGGACATCAAGACCAGTATACCTAGGAGCCTAGCCAGTCATTTAGAGCCATAACAATGAATTTTGGAAAAAAATAATTTTCTTTACTAAGTTAAATTTATATGTTTTATTGTTATGGTGTAAATTTAGTAGCTAAGTATGAAAAATAAAAGCGGAATGTTTTCATTGTTAGGTCCCTTATATGTAAAATAAAGACACATTTCATTTAATTTCTTTATTATGTCTCAGTTTTTTTAACTGTTGGTACTTTTTGCTGATGGCCGGGCATTTTCCAAACACAGTCCTCTTCCAAGTCACACTACGCCCGGGTTTATGGAACTTTTGACCACATGTAATGAACGATTCTCTTTAGTGAAAGAGTTTCATAGCAAAAGATTTATTCATAGTATAGTCTCTTAGTGAGTTGTATTTTATCATAGTTTTGTGTCGCAGGTGAGTAAAGACACTGGACTGACACAGTATCTGCCTCCCATCAGAGCTGTGCTGGAATCCATCCTTCTACAGGTCAGGAGCATCATAGTTATCAACAATTGCACCGACGCTTTCTTCATGGGCAGCATGAAAAACAGGGACCTCAAAGGCCAAGAGATACCTTCTCAGGTAAGCACACCATGTCTATTTGAGAGAATTAGAATTTAGTGTTCCACTATGGTTTACTGACTGGATTTTAATTATGGTGAATGCAAAATGCTAAACAGTAAACTATTCTGTGAAATGTAAATAAAACATAAAGAAAATTATTTTCAGTGTCCAATAAATAAGTGTCCATTCCATTCAGTGACCTGGCATTCTTAGGACCTACAAAACATGAACAAAAACCATCCGTTGAAAACTGTTTTAATGTTTTGTGATGCAAAAGAATTTGGATGATCAGATGTTGCTGTTTAACAGGCTAACAACTTTAAAATTATTATAACTTAACTAGAAGTAGAACCCAGCATTGCCTGGGTCAAACAAAATACAATGTGGTGAACTATACTTGGGAGGGCCACAAGGTTGTTACATAGGTGTTTAAAAGGCTAAGACATGGTGTGCTGTGTAATGTGATGTGTGCTGTGGTGTGGTGTGTTTTGCCTTGTTTTTCAAAGTAATATTTATGTAAACCAAACCGAATATAACTATTTAAAACGTTTAGTCCAAACTAACCGATACAGTTATTTTTGTTTACACATAATTCAAAATGATGACTGTAAAAATAATCTGTATCAGCTGTTTTTGTTAACTTCAGCTACAAAAAGGTATTCCTGATAACATGGGCACTTTCAAGGGCTGTAGGACGGAAACTGGATTTTTCCAGGCCTTGTGACTAAATCCAATCGATTTCTCGTGGCCAAATACCCCATATTAAAAAAAAAATCTTTGGACGGAAAAATGAGTTCGCTCGTACATGCGCTTGTTTTAGATTATAGGATTAATTAGGCCTGGCGCACACGGTCGATTTTTTTATTGGCCGATAAAAAAATCGGCTAAAAAAAATCGCCCTTGATTTATGTCTTGGCGCACACGTGCCGATTTTTTTGTCGAGAAATGGAATTTTTTGAGTGCGTTTAAGCTATCCTAAAATGGACTTAAAATGGAATTAACCTGTGATTGTGCCCTTCTAATAAGATCAAAGAAAAAAAGAAGACAACTTAAACATTGGGTTCATCCGATAGTAAATCAGAGACTTTTAAATTGACAGTTTTATAAACTATACACTTGACGTGATGACAGTAAAAAGGTCTTTAATTACTATAAAATGTCTGTTGGAAGTTTCAGTTTTTATTATAACAGATGTGCCCTTTTTTAGCAAAGAAAACAACACAACTCACACTGAAGTTCACTGACTCCTGTGAAGAACAACAAGCGACAGGCTGATTTTTTAGTCAACCGTGTGCGGGAACTGATAACAACCTGTACGTTACAGATTTTCGGACGACAATCGCCTCGCCTTTGAATCTGCAGCAAAATCCAGATTTTAAAATCGGCGCAATTCTCGATCGCCTGTGTGCGCGCTTACATTCTAATACATGATGCACAGATCAGCCGATGAAATAATCGCCTCAAAATAATCGCTAGTGTGCGCCTAGCCTTATATTCATTAATGTACCGTAGTATTAGACTGTATGACAAATCACCTTTCAAGAGAATTTATGTAATGTGATGATGTTAAATAAATGTGAAGATACAATGCACAATGATGGTTATGGTACCCCTGCCGCAGCTAACCTGCAGGCTAAGCGAATTTCCATTTCCCTGGTTGAATTTTCACTAAAATATTTGCTTAAAATTGTCATATTTGTTTTATATTTAAATAACTTTAGGTTTTATGAGTACTTGGGTTTGCTGATACAGGAAAGGCAATAGTAACATTTTTTATTGAAATTTGTTTAAATTGAAATAGTCTAAATTTAATATACAAATTTACCTAATTTGACCAAAATATATCCCTTAATAAGCAAACTCTATCTTTTTTTCTCAGTAAGAATAAATAGAATTTTTAAACTTACATTTTTTTAAATTTTCTCTGTAACCATTAGGTGCACAACAACGGTTCAATCATTTATATATAAGGATACTATACTATTTTTTGTTTAGCTCAATAAAATAGTTTTTAAAGAAATTCCAAAAGATTTTTTTTCTGGGGGTCAAAAATGGAAAAAATAATTTTTTACTCCATAAAACCATGTTCCTATGGTTTTATAATGCTGGTTTTCTGGTTCATAAACCCGTTCAAAAATTTAGGTTTAGACATTTGTACCAAATATCAACAAAATCGTATGATTTTGACTCGAGTTATCCAACAAAACCTTTGTGCTTTAGAATAGACAAACTTTAAAAATACTATCTGAAGTATGAGAGTAGCCTAGATAAGTTGTATGAAAGGTTGCATATTTTTTTATGGAATAATAGCCCAGGCAAATTAGACATATGCTCCCCAAAAAATCGTCTAAAGCTGGAAAGTGTTTTAATACCTTTTTGGGGTCCCAAATAAGACTCCTGTGAGTTTGCGACGGATTCTGATGTCTGCTTAAGTTTTGGGAGTCGAAAAACTATGAAAATTTTGCACTTTTTTCAGCTTTTCGCTTATAACTCCTAAATAACGAATTCTAAGGAAAATGTTGTTCACAGGTGTCTTTTAGTGCATTAAATTCCGCGTCGATTGATGTTAAATACGTCAAAATCGGCCGAGCCGTTTACCCGCTGTAGCTTTTCAAAGTTGGAATATTTTCAATAACATGGCCAAAAGGTTGATTATTTGACCAGTTTTCGGCTTACAACTCCTAAACGACGCATGCTATACAAAAATGCACCTGTAGTTAGTTGGGAAAACACAAAATTCTGCGTATGATGTTTTTTTTTTATTAATCAATAACGGCAATTGATTGTTACCTACTTTATATGGTCGCCATTTCATTGAAAAAAGTATTAAAGTTAAATTTGGGAAATTTTACTAAAATTGGTAACAACATAGATCCTATCCTTAAATGGATTATGAATTATTAGATAGTGGTTTATTCCATGATGGTAATCCAGAGGTAAGGTGTGATGAGAGTAAGACACCCTATGTAATTTTAAGTCTAATATTTTTGTCTGAGGTTCCGAAAATTCTAGGATTCATATCCCAACCACCCATTATACAGGGTGAGTTTTAATTGTCCCCCCCCCAACTTTTTTCTACATTTTTTGAATATCAATCCCAGACCACTTCCAAACATTGTTGGGTAGTAAGTACTTCATTTTGACAAGGTGGTCATTTCCGGCCGCCATCTTGGATCCGCCATATTGGATGTAAAATATTTTTTTCAAATGTAAAGGTGGGGTTGTGACCCAATATTTCGAACTAGATTTTTACCCTGATTACAATGCCACAAACCGTTTTTAAAAATCGTGATTCATTCCAAAGTTATGGGGGCTTTTTAAAACTTTATTTCTATCTTTATTTCTATTATTAAGGTGATGATGCATCAGTAGCTGATGAACAATATGACACGTGGTGGTTAAAGAGTCGCAACTACCAGTTTCTTGATTAACTTCCCTCACAACTTTAACATGTGACACAGACTCATGATTAATTTTGTAATAGGTGATTGATATTAATTAACTGGATTATTTTACCTTAATTAATTTGTCATATTTAGTTTTTCATTAATAAATTAGTCTTTTTCTGATAAACTGTCGGTTTTATTGCTTTTATTATGTTCTTTTTCGATTCTGCATCCTAAGAAACATGGAAAACGACACCCCACTTGCTTGGATCCCATAAATAAAAATTTTCTCAAAATCACTACCCCCATAAACTTAAAACCCCATAAAATGGTACTTCCACCCCCACAATCACTAGGGACTCTTTAGATTCCAATACCTAATGGTAAATACTACGTTTCCTGCAAGTTTCATGAATGGACTAATTTTTATGTTTTCTTAGGTGAGTTTTACCTGTACTAATCTTGGATCCGCCATTTTGAAATGTGATGAATTATTTTAAATGTGAAGGGGGTGTTGTGACCCATCATTTCGAACTATTTTTTAAGTTAAACTCAATTCCATGATCCTTTTTTCATTTTGACATTTTGATGTTGAAATATAGACATTTAAAAAAAAAAATTTGCAATATTTGATAAATAAAACTTGGTAACAAAAAATTGATTGCGGCATTGAGTTTAGCTTAAAAAAATAGTTCGAAATGATGGGTCACAACACCCCCTTCACATGTGGAAAAAATATTTTGCATCCAATATGGCGGATCCAAGATGGCGGCCGGAAATGACCACCTTGTCAAAATGAAGTACTTACTACCCAACAATGTTTGGAAGTGGTCTGGGATTGGTATTCGAAAAAATGTAGAAAAAAGTTGGGGGGGGGACAATTAAAACTCACCCTGTATAATGGGTGGTTGGGATATGAATCCTAGAATTTTCGGAACCTGAGACAAAAATATTAGACTTAAAATTACATAGGGTGTCTTACTCTCATCACACCTTATAAAATAAACCTCTGGTTGACCATCATGGAATACACCACTATCTAATAATTCATAATCCATTTAAAGGCAGGATCTATGTTGTTACCAATTTTAGTAAATTTCGCAACTTTAACTTTGATACTTTTTTCAATGAAATGGCGACCATACAAAGTAGGTAACAATCAATTGCCGTTATTGATTAATAAATAAAACATCATACGCAGAATTTTGTGTTTTCCAAACTAACTACAGGTGCATTTTTGTATAGCTTGCGTCGTTTAGGAGTTGTAAGCCGAAAACTGGTCAAATAATCAACCTTTTGGCCATGTTATTGAAAATATTCCAACTTTAAAAAGCTACAGCGGCTAAACGGTTTGGCCGATTTTGACGTATTTAACATCAATCGACGCGGAATTTAATGCCCTAAAAGACATTTTTGAACAACAATTTCCTTAGAATTCGTTATTTAGGAGTTATAAGCGAAAAACTGAAAAAAGTGCAAAATTTTCATAGTTTTTCGACTCCCAAAACTTAAGCAGACGCCAGAATCCGTCGCAAACTCACAGGAGTATTATTTGGGACCCCCAAAAGGTATTAAAACAATTTCCAGCTTTAGACGATTTTTTGGGGAGCACACCCTATATTTGGTCTAATTTGCCTGGACTATAAATGATTTTTGATTATATTTCATTCGAGCCTACCTAAATGTAAATTGAATGAAGGGATGATAAGTGGGGGTCAAGTGTGAGTTAGGTTGATGCAAATTATAGATCTGAAAATTATATAGAATGTCATTTCATATAGAAGTGTGCATATTAAGTAGGCCAGATACATGGATAGAGTATTCTTATCTCTATGGCTAAAAGTCATAGTTGTTTAAGGGGATGACGCTAATGTACCAGTAATTTATTGGGAATTTTGTCTTAGATTGAAGAAGAGGAAGAAGGACTAAATAGTCTACACAATGGATCGGATTCAGAACAAGAAAAGGAAAAGGATGACGGAGAAAGCTCTGCTATTGAAACAGACATAGAAGGTGAAGAGGACGATGCCAGTAACTCAATTAGCATTTAGTGTCTGAAGATGAAGTTGCATTCTCAAGAACAAGTTTAAGCCAATAATTGGGCTAAGTTACTAATTTGCTTTTTATATTTTGAAAAGTGTTTTGCTACTCTCATGGTTATCACAATAGTATATAAGTTTATCTGTGGATATTTTAGTTCTGTTGTACAGTAAGATATTGAACAATGTCACAACTATGTTTTACAATACAACCTTTTTAAATTATTAATCCTTTAAACAGATCCTTAGTCTTTTTATTTCCGGTTTAGTCTCAGTTAGTTGTTTTTTATTAGATGTAATATTTGAGTTATTAGATTCTTCAGGTTTAAAATCTTGTTACTGACAAATTCTTTCATCTGAGATTAAAACAAAATAAATTGTTTATCTTATGGTGACAGTGATGGAATTATTTTACCCTTTTACTCTAATGTTATTTTTAATTACTATTGGGCAAAAATCCTATTTAATCAATTTCTTACAAATTGTTATTTCCAAGGCAATTTAAAAAATGGGCCACTTTATTCACTGCCGTAAATAATCTATTGGACAGAAAATATATTAGCCAGCAAATTCGACAATAAACACAAGTATCTTCATTCTGCCTCTAATGGGTTGGAGTAAGGTTTTGAGTGGATTAATGTTGGGACTTGCAAATAAATTGGTACCAGTACTTTAACATTTTAATGTCCATTACACAATTACTATTACGTCATAATTTGTTTGAGTTTGAACACTGGTTACCATACCATACTATTTGAGTCATTGATTTTTCATTTGTAAAATCAAAGTATTATTAATCAGAAAATGGGATGTTTATACGAGATATTTACAAACCAATAATATCTGGCAATAAAAACTAAACTTTAGGCCAAAGTAACAGGAGACCGAGCTTTGCTCGGATTGAATGAAACATTTATTTAATAAGTTAATTAGCTAAATTTTAAAATATTTACTATGTAATCAATGTGAACACATTTATTTTAATACACCTTTATAAATACATTGCAATTCACATAATGTTATATGTTGGGGGGACGTTTCAACTTCTATATTGATTGGGTTGTCGTATGATGGGATTGGGTCGTATGACAACATTTCTTTCTAGTTATTTTCTTCTGTTGTTTGGTTAACTTAAGTGTTTTATTTAAATTTCAAATTAAATGCCACCTAGAAGACGAAGAACTGAGAGTGGCCGGAGGGAACGAGAACCTCGACCCCTAGCATCACCCTCCCAATGGAACATGGATACAGAGCGAAAGTGGCTTACAGTTTAAGGTTAAGCAAGAAAAGACTGGCCAAGACAGTTCAATTTTTACACTTTTTTGCCATAAAGGAAAAGTTAGTTTCGCTCATTTGCGGAATTCACCATACATTCAGGATTGGAAAGTCCCAATCTGAAAACAGGCCAGCAAGACTTAAATCTAGAAATTATTTGGATAACATTCGTCAATTCAATTTACTTTCCCATGGTCAGCTCCGAAAAGGTCGTGATCCTAAATAAGCACAGATATATTTAGATATTTATATGTACAAAGTTGACACTGGACTCCGAAAGTGCATGAAACAAAAATGCAAACAAAAAATTTAATGAAAATCTTATGCGGGAAATAGGGTTACACATTGAAAACACCAACCCATTTGTCCAATCTTTTATCACTATGGCAGACATTTGTAGGAAAGAAAGCTCCGAGGAGTCAAGTGAGATTCTTATTATATTCTTTTATTACTGTACAAGTTGCAGTTTTGCTCAATTTCGATCATAGTTTAAAATGGTACCCAGCTGTTGAAAATTATTATGCTTTTAAATGACCTTGACTAAAGAAACGGATGCACGTTTAGTAACATAGCTACAAAAGGATCCCTCTATACGCTACACACATCTTTCACTCTTATTCAGGTCAAAAAAAACTTTTTGTCCCTGTCTCAACGTTAAAATATAACAATTACAATATTTTTTTCCAAAACATAGAAAGACTTGCAGCTTTAAAACTTAATTTGGAAAATAATGGTCACTGGTTGTATAGCAGCAATAAAACATTATGTGTGAGGCTGCTGTTTTGTAAGCTTTTGTAATTTAATTTTGACTAATGTACTTCTAAATTGTTAAACAAAATCAAGCAAGTCAATGATATTAAATATTTATGAGGTACTTAGTTTTGTCAATTTAGTCTTTAACCATTTATCCTGATAGTCCATTTAAGGACATATAATTTCCTATTATACACATCACTTAAGAATTTAGCATAGTAATGTTATTTATTTATCCATCCAATGATATTTAACAACATAATCATCATGATTTGATCCAACTGGCTTTATCATTATCAGCAGTATTAGTGTTTTGAAGACAAATGGACCCTTTACATTTTTACTAAAGAAAAGAGTTTTGAAAACATTCTGAATACAGTTGTATATTTTCCAAAAATGCAAGTAAAGCCAAAATGGGTCGGTAAGGAGCCTGAATATTCAAAGTTCAACTCCATACCGAGTCAGGCAGACCCCCCTGTTCTCTATGACGACTTTAGGCCTCTAGCAATCATGGCAAAAATCAGCTTGGTTTTGCCAATTAAAAACATCATCTTTAAAAGAAATAAATTGGATTTCAAATGGTTCAGTGTTGAAATCATATCCGTACCTTTTTTGAATCTGCTGATAGGCTACTTCTTGCCCAGCAGAATTATGTCATTTGACAGTGGGAAAAAAATATTCCCTTGGAAAGAAGCCGGGGGTTGCCTGTTGTCCAACCTGTGGTTCATGTACGGACAACATCATCTGTTGTCTCTGGTGGAAAAGATGAACACATTTGATCACTCAATGTTGTTCAACTCTAAAGCATTCTACTACAAGAAGCTCAGTAAGTACGCCTGGGTCTTAGCATCCTACCTGTATCCGATGTTGCTGCTAGCCAAGGTGGGGATTGCAACATACAACGGTGAAACTTGCGACAAAAAAAAGTGTGCAAAGCTAGAGCTCATCAGAGGGTTCTTCGTCTACCAGAGCCAACTGCAATTGTTCATATACACTTTCTTCTGTTACGAGCTTAAGCACCGATTCAAAACTATGAATGTTGTATTTTACGATTTCATACAGTCCTCTTACCTCAGGAGACGAGTGGTGGGAAACAACCACGCGGAGTTTGAAAACCATCGCTTACAATACATCCATCTCAACCAGTGCGCCAAAACCTTGAATGATCTTTTTGGCATCCGATTTGCCTTCATCTTCGGAGCATACATTTTGCAGCTCCTCTGGATCCTTTTCTACTTCTACACTGTGAAAGGTTATGTCATCACAGGCTATGATGTCTTGGCAATCGTCTACAATTTCATCCTCTTGTTTTTTGTTACTCTCAACACAGACCTACTGGTTATTGAGGTAAGTATGACATTTCATATTGTGTGTATCCATTTTTAGAAAGTGAAAATGAAACTTTCTATGTAGAATAATTGGATGAGAATGTATTTTTTAACTTTTTTCAGAACTTGGGAACTGTTAGGCTATGGTTTCCTAGACGCGTAATAGATGTGCTGCGGTTTAGATGTGCTGCCAGTTTTCAGTTCTTCCAGGTCTCAATACGCAGCTGCTGTCAGTGGTTTCCTAGACTGCGTACAATACACTTGGTTGGTGCATAACATGAGTTCACGGGAGAGATTACTAGCGGCTGCTCTAACGTTATACGATGATTTAGCTAATGACATGGATATTATGGTTTTACAAGCTTCGAAAAAGCGTCAATCCCTCACGGATGTTTTAACTGTAGTATTAAAGCGAACATGTTAATTTAAAATGTAAACAATTAATTTTAATTTACTCTAACTTTTTTTATTGTTATTATATTTACCTAATCAGGATTTACTTAGTCAATGAAAATACCTTTTACAATATAACAATAAACTATTTATCTATCTGAAGGACAAATAAGTCAACTTCTGTTTATAATGAAAAGGGTATTTACAATGGTATTACAATATACCCCCGCCGTAGCATACCTGCAGACTAAGCGAATTTCCATTTGCCTGACTGAATTTACACTAAAATGTCTCCTTAAAAATATCACATTTATTCCCTATTTAAACAGCATTAATTTAACGAATACTTATGTTTGCTGCAAAAGTGAGGGTAAAAAGGTGTTTGTAAAATGTTAATAGTTTAGTATAAAATTAATGAATTTTCCAAATTTGATCAAAATATCAAACTACAACAGCTTACTATTTTCTCCATAAGAATAACATGGGAATTTAAAATTTACAATTTTTATAATTTTCTTCGTAGCCATTGGGAGCATATTTGCTTCAATATACTAACTTATTTGTTTTTTAAGCTCTACAAAATGGTTTGGAAATAAGATGCTAAATTTTATATTTTTAGGGTCAAAAATTGGAAAAACCAATTTTTATCCCCATAAACCCCTGTTTCCATAGTCCGATGATGGTGGTTCGCAAACTCGTTCGAATAAACATATTTACAAAATTTCATTAAAATCGGATAATTTTTGCTCAAGTTATCGCGCGTGTATGAATATATGAATTTGAACGGATGGTGTTTTTGGCCTCTAGGGACCTCAAAACGAAAAAGTAAATCGGTCCCGGGTCCAGGTCTTACCATGAGTACTATGGTAATAGCTTATTTCCTATATGGGAAATTCTCTATAAATGACGAATGTGCTTGTGCCCTAGGCTACTACGATGAGTTGACAATAAATAATATAGGCTAAATACTAAGATGTTCAGGGAATCTTCAAATAATTAGGTTTGTTTACAAATTACAATAATGAGAAAATTTGTAGACGAGAAAACTCTTATAGTCAGGAGAGCGAAACTTCCATAATTTGTCATTAGAAGAGAAAAATTCCATCAATTCTTCGTCGTTGTTGTTGGGAGAATTTTGCCTTCTGGGCAACATTTATGCAAGACATGTCTGTTACGCAGCTATTGGTGCGCACATATTTGATGTGCACACACTTGGTACGCTGCCTTTGAAATCGCTCACACGAAACTCCGTTAGACAAGTTCTCTTCATCTTAGATGCGCATACGCAGCGCATCTATTACGCGTCTAGGAAACCTTACTGTGACTGTGGCCGTAGAGCAGTCGGGGGATTTAAGTATTAGATATTACGCCTATTCTAATGTTTTAAGTAGTGATGTGTCAAAACCATCAAAACTTTGGTTAACCCTTAGAGTGCCAGGCGAGAAATAAAAGTAACGCTCAAAAAATGCCGATGATTTTTCCCGAAGGTCGCGCTAAAAATGCCGAGCGCGATCTGGCGATTTTTAGGTTAAAATTTCGTAAAAATCGAATTTTCGATATTTCGACCAAAGAAAATCGATGTATCGCATCTAGTAACTTT